TTTTTTGCAGGTCTTGTTTTCCTGGCCATGGTTTCATACCTTTTGGTTGATTCTATGATTTGGATGCATGCTGACAGTTGCGGGGTGTGTACCGACAACCAGTTCCTACCTATTAGTTGTAGCGCCGCTATCAGGATATGGTACGTGAGATATTTAACAGATTTTACTATGTTGGGAGGGAACAGTTGTAGTAGGTATAGTTCAGGCTGAGGCGGCATAACTACCTTTGTGGTGGTTTTTATCAGTTTGGAGATTTGTGCCCAAAACGGTCCAATTTTGGGCATGACCACCAGATGTGATATGTGGTTCCTGGTTGGTCCATGCATCTCCAGCATTTACCTGTGGATTGGGTGTTTATGTGTTTTAACTTGGTTGGGACAATGTGCCATCGATATAGTATCTTCCTGGATATTTCTACATGTGAGGCACACATCGTTAAATTTTTATTAGCTGAGAATATGTGGAGCCACTGTGTGTCGGTTAGTTTCATATTTAGGTCTAGTTCCCAGGCTGCGATAAACGAGGGTTTTGTGAGATATGCCTTGCGGATGATTTCGTGGTATAATTGAGACATAGGTTTGGTTGGCGGTTTGGTTTGCAGACACATTTGTTCAGCAGTGGACAATTGCATGGATTGTTCGGGCTGGGCCTTTGGGGGACGGTATTTGTGGAACCATGATTTTATCTGCATGTGAGAAAAAAGTAGTGACTGCAGTACTTGATATTCGGTTTGTAGGCGCTCAAACGAGATCAGGTTGCCTTGATCGAGTAACTGGTGGAGGTATGTCACGCCATGGGAGGTCCACATTTTTGCATTAAAGTAGGGTATGAGTGTTGTGAGGGCCTGTAGTTTCATAGCCGGCGACGGGTGCGTTGACGGCCAGGATTTGGTTTGGTGTTTTATCCTATATGGACAAGGATAACCTAGTCGTTGGTAGCATAGTTTTGTATTTGGGTCTGTGGGAGTGCGGTATCCATGCCAGTGTGGTTATATCGTGTCCTTCTGTGTAATTGGACTCAATGACAAGCCATTCTGGCCGGGGGTCCTGATGGAATGCTGTGATTGGTGGGCTGAGAATTGATGCTGAGTAATACGCGTTTAGGTGTGGGATCCCCAGACCCCCTTGCCTGAAGGGTCTGTGTAGCACAGATGCCGCCACCCTCGCTTTTTTCTTGTTCCATATGAATGTGTTTAGGAGGGTCTGTGTTTCCCGGAGGAAAGTGTGTGGGAGTTGGATGTGTAACGTATGGAATAAGTACTGGAGTTTCTGTAAAAGTATCATTTTTGTCGCTGCAATTCGTCCCAGCCAGGAGACATACTTGCCTGTCCATCCCATGATTTGACCTTTCAGTTTGTTCACTAGTTTGGTGTAGTTTGCCTGAAGCATGGCCTGCGATGTGGCTGTAAAAGCAACTCCTAAAAAAGTGAGATGGTCTGTTCGCCAGTCGTATGCGTGGGCCTTTTTTAATTCTTGCAAAGTGCAGGGTGATATGTGCATCCCCATTGCTTGCGTTTTGGAAATATTAAGTTTGTAGTATGAGTATGCACTGTAGTCAGCTAGGATGTCGTAGAGATGTGGGAGTGATGTATGTGGTGATTCTATGGATAGCATGATATCATCTGCGAACATTGTGAGTTTATGTTCCACGGGGCCTATTTGTATACCTTTGACATTGTGACTCATTCTTATATGTTGCGCTAATGGTTCCAAGATCAGGATGTACAGCAACAGGGATAGCGGGCATCCCTGGCATGATCCGTTTGTAATACTAAATTTTTTTGATATAAATCCACTATTGGCTACATGAGCCGATGGTGTGGAGTATAGCGCTGTCAGTAGGGACATGAAGCCGGGAGGGAAACCGAATTTTGTTAGCGTAGCCTCAAGGAATCCCCAGTGCACCCTGTCAAACGCTTTCTCAGCATCCAACGAAAGGAACACACTGGGTCTCCCCGAGGCCCGCTTGCTTGACATCAGGTCTAGCAGTTTCCTGGTGCCATCCGAGCCCTGCCTCCCCCTGACAAAACCTACTTGATTTGTGTGTATTACCGAAGGGATTATGGAAGCGAGTCTATTTGCATAAATTTTCGCTAGCAACTTCGTGTCAGTATTCAATAGTGAAATCGGTCTCAGGTTTTGGGGTTTGGTAGGTGGCTTCCCCGGCTTGGGCAACGTTGCAATGTGGGCTATCAGCATTTCTGAAGGCATATAGCTTGTCATTATGATGGCGTTAAACATTTTTTCTATTTGCGGGGCTAAGGTAGATTTGAAACATTTGTAATATATGTTCGTGAAGCCGTCTGGGCCTAGTGTTTTCCCCTGTGGTAGGGCGTCGATAGTTTTTTCTATCTCAGTGGCGGTGATCGGTTGTTGGATCATTGCCTGTTGAGCTGGGCTAAGTGAGGTGAGATAGGCATGTGTTAGGAAGTTTTGTATTTCTTGAATTGTGGGTTGACGTGTCTTAGTATCCTGTGCTAGATTGTAGAGTTTGTCGTAGAACTCTGCCATAGTGTCATTTATCTGCTGTGGGTTTGTAATTTTGGTGCCTGCAGGGTTAAATACATGGGGTATTTTTGACCGGGTTTGGTGTTACATAGTTACATAGTTACATAGTTACATAGCTGAAAAGAGACTTGCGTCCATCAAGTTCAGCCTACCTCACATTTGTTTTTTGCTGTTGATCCAAAAGAAGGCAAAAAAACCCAGTTTGAAGCACAATTTTGCAACAAGCTAGAAAAAAAATTCCTTCTTGACCCCAGAATGGCAGTCAGATTTATCCTTGGATCAAGCAGTTATTACCCTACATTGAAAGATTATATCCTTGAATATTCTGTTCTTGCCAGTATGCATCTAGTAGCCATTTGAACATCTGTATGGACTCTGATAAAACCACTTCCTCAGGCAGAGAATTCCACATCCTGATTGTTCTTACAGTAAAAAAACCTTTCCTTTGTCTTAGACGAAATCTTCTTTCTTCCAGTCTAAACTCATGGCCTCGTGTCCTATGTAAAGTCCGGTTTGTGAATAGATTTCCACACAATGGTTTGTATTGGCCCCGAATATATTTGTATAATGTTATCATATCCCTTCTCAGGCGACGTTTTTCTAAACTAAATAGATTTAAATTTGTTAACCTTTCTTCATAGCCGATATGTTCCATTCCTTTTATTAATTTTGTAGCCCGCCTCTGCACTTTTTCTAGTGCCATAATATCCTTCTTTAGAATAGGTGCCCAAAATTGCACAGCATATTCAATATGGGGTCTTACCAGTGATTTATAAAGAGGCAAAATTATATTCTCGTCCCGAGAATGAATGCCCTTTTTCATGCATGACAATACCTTACTGGCCTTGGCCACTGCTGATTGACATTGCACATTGTTGCATAGTTTGTTGTCTATAACAATTCCCAAGTCACTTCCATATTTCCTTCTTCTGTATATACAGGCTATACTATGTACTATTTTTTATCTTTATAGGTTTTTATATGGACCATCTCCTATATGTACCTGTACATGTATAAGTATTATTATTGCCTGTTTTGATACACAGGGAGTGGTGTGTGTATTTGGCACTTGTTGCTTTTAGTACCTTTCTCTATTACTTGATTTTAGGGTGTTGGGGAACACCCTTTCCACTCCAACTGTGCTCCTGTTTTACTGTGTAAGCGCCATTCACTTTTCTTCTTTTTTGTATCTTTTCATGTGTTGTTATCCCTAATTTGCTTCCATTAAGGGTATACGTTGCTTGTGTATTCTTTACGCCGAAGTGCATAACTTTGCATTTTTCAACATTAAATTTCATCTGCCATTTGAGTGCCCAGTCCCCCAGTCTATCTAAATCCCTCTGCAGCAAAGTAATATCTTGCTCACATTGTATTGTTTTACAAAGTTTGGTGTCATCTGTAAACACTGAAACATGACTTTCAATGCGGTCTTCAAGATCATTTATAAACATGTTAAATAGAAGGGGTCCCAGAACAGACCCCTGAGGGACACCACTTGCCACCTCTGTCCAGCTTGAAAATTTACCATTAATGACAACTCTTTGTACTCTGTTTTTAAGCCAATGTTCTACCCAAGAACAAGCATTTTCATCTAGACCGATTTCCTTGAGTTTGAACACTAATCTATTGTGTGGAACTGTATCAAATGCCTTGGCAAAATCCAAATAGATCACATCCACGGCAACACCCTGATCTATACTTCTACTTACTTCTTCGTAGAGCGCAATCAAGTTAGTTTGACATGACCTGTGCTTCATAAAACCATGCTGATTTTTGCTCATAACCATGTTCTTCTCAAGGAATTCTTGAATATTATCCCTTAATATTGTTGCCTTAATAGGGAAGCCAGTGCCTTCCCCGCTTTATTACCCTGAGAGTATTGCTTCAGTTTGAGTTTAGTCAGTGTATCTGATGTCCGTTGGAATAATATGTCGTTTATTGCTTTAGTAGTGCGGTATATTTCGTCCTGGCCTGCAGTAGACGGGGAAAGGAGGTGGGCATTTGTTTGGTCTCTGAGTTTTTTGAGGAGGGTGGTGTATTCATCTTGCGCTTTCCTTTTTAGGTATGCTGCCCGGCTAATGATTAGTCCCCGTATTACCACCTTATGGGCGAGCCATACGTTTTGGGGTTGTGTTTGCGGCGTGTAGTTTGTGTCGAAATATAGTTTTATTTCCTTTTCTAATGTACTTTTGAAGGAGTCGTCAGACAGAAGGCTGTCATTCAATTTCCATGGGGAGGTTCCCCTGAAGGGAAACTTGTCTTGTAGTGTTAGGCGTACGGGTGCATGGTCTGACCATGTCAAGTCCCCTATCGTGCAGTCTATCATGGATGTGAGGAGATGTGCAGCTATGAGGATGTGATCAATGCGTGAGCTTGTTTTATGGGCTCTTGAGTGGTGTGTGTATTCACGTACGTTTGGGTGAGTTGTGCGCCAGGAGTCATAGAGATTAAAATCAAATTTTGCAATTGTGGGCTAGGTATTTTGGAAAGGACTTTGTGTAAGAAATTTCTTTGGTTAGTGTTCGGGCTGTACACTGAAGCAATCGTGTAATTAATGTCATTTATCGTGCAGTGAATGATGACATATATGTGTGGAGTGATATTGCGTGGGATATTCCTGTTGTGCAAACTTAGGAATTTTGGTATGTGTAAAGTGGGTTTCTTGCACACAGAGGACGTCTATTTTGTCTTTCCTGGCCATGTCTATCAGGACACGCCGTTTGTGCCCAGTGTTCAAGCCGCACGCGTTAATAGTGTGTATTCTCAGGTTGTAGTATTTGTTTGTTTATTTGGAGTACTCTTGTGGATCTATTCTCAGAGAGACTAATGTACCTCGAGCAGGGAGGGGACAACTTGGGTGTGGTAAAGAGAGGGTTGGAAGGAGAGGAATATATACATGTTCCCTGTAGCAGGGAATTGGTGCGGTGGGTGCGCACCATGGGGTACGGAAACATTTGTCTCCTGTGGTGTGGCGTGTGGGCTTGGTAGCCTTTGGGTTTGGACAGAACTTTTTTTTTTTTTTTGAATATGTGAGGACTGGGAAGGAAAACTTGGGTGTGGTTGCTGCATGAGTGGCTGCTGTACCGAGTACAGCGCAATGCTAATCATTCGCAAGAGTATGTGTGACAGGACGAGCTGTTGAGGCTCTTATCAGCATCTGAAAGGGCACCTGCATCCGTGCTGTATTTCAGGCTTCTCCGTTTCACTCCTGATCCTAAACCTTATCCGAGGGGTCTATGGGTCACCTTTTTCCCTAGGGCTGGTTGGTGATTGTGTGCAGTCACGAGGGTCTATCAACAGTGTCCCTTGTAATACCTCAACAATGGCTAGGGTTTGGTGAAGGGGTTTGCACAGTTACAAAAAAAAAAAAAGCATAAGTCGCATAATGAGACACATAAAATGGCCATTGGTATGGGCCACGAGGTACCCCGCACGTCCCCCCGTCCCTCCCCCCCCTCGGAGGAGAACGACCGGGGGAAGGCGCCCGGGCCCACGCCACCCACCCACATGGGCTCGGCCAACATCACAGCGAAAACAACTAGCACGTATCTTGCTGGGTCCCCAACAACCCTGCATCTCCCCAATCTCCCAGCCATTACTGTCAATGTGGCAACATGAGAGTTCACAACTACTAGTATGCCATCTCAGGGGAAGTCCATCTCCTGGCATGTGCATATATTCAGTGTTCAGTCAAGAAAGTATCCCCCCGTGGGTGAGTGGTTGAACTCTCCGGAGATGCCAAAATGTACAAGAGTGAGAGTTCCGCTGGGCCCTTCCAATGTCAGTATGCCTGTGGGAAATAAGTGTGTGGTGCATGATACTTGCGTGTCCCTCATGCAGCTGTCAGCGTGGTTTAATGCCTGTCCGGCGCTTTCTGCCAGTCCAGGCGTAATCTGCCCAGTGATGGAGCTTGCGCAGGTTCTAGTTGTGGGTTGATGCCCCACGACTTCAGCTGGTTGGCGCCATCTTCGGGGGTCAGGATAGCCTTAAGAGAGCCATTTCTGGTCACCAAGAGCTTCGTGGGATATCCCCACCTGTACCGCACTCCGTTGGTACGAAGTGCCGCAGTAATGGGGGCGAAATCTTTCCTTCTTCGCAGGGTGATCGCTGAGATGTCTGGGAAGATTTGTACCGTAGCGTAATCGTCTGGAGGCTTGGGTTTGCTTCTGCTGGCTCGGAGGACGTGCTCCTTAATGTGGTAGTAATGGGCACGTAACAGAACATCTCTGGGCGAGGAGTCTGACAGGTGTCGTGGACGCGGCACCTGATGAACCCTGTCGAGCAGCAGCATATCGGACGGGATATCAGGCGCGTAAGCACCGAGCAGGCCTCGCACATATGCTTGCAGATCCGCTGGGAGCACTGTCTCAGGTACCCCCCGCAGCCGCAGGTTGTTTCGCCGAGACCTGTCCTCCATGTCCGCCAGTTTCGTTTCCGTGAGTACCGTATATACTCGTGTATAAGTCGATCTCATGTATAAGTCGAGTGCAGTTTTGTGACCAACAATTGTGAAATATGCTGTGCCTCTTGGATAAGTCGAGGGTAAAACTTGGGGCTATGAAATTCTGTGATTTTTATAATTATATACACACACACTCATACAAATAAACACTCTGCATTATATATACACACACTCATACAAACAATCTGCATTATATACACACACACACACTCATACAAACACACACTCTGCATTATATACACACACTCTGTGTATATAATGCAGAGTGTGTATATAATGCAGAGTGTGTGTTTGTGTAGTGTGTGTGAACTAGGTGGGGGGAGGGCATTTTTATTATTTTTTTTATTTTTATTTTAATATTATTATTTTTTTATTATTTTTTTTGTCCCCCCTCCCTGCTTGTTAACTGGTCAGGGAGGGGGGCTATCTTAATCCCTGGTGGTCCAGTGGCATGGGCTGTGAAGTGGGGGGGCCGGCAGGAAGCATTTACTTACCTTTCCTGCAGCTCCTGTCAGCTCCCTTCTCCTCCGTTCCGGTCAGCTCCACTGTAAGTCTCGCGGTCTGGTTGCTGCGCGGATCGTTGCCATAGCTCTGACGGCTGCGGCTCTCTAAGTTGCCATAATACAGACAGTGACTCGAGTATAAGTCGAGTGGGGGTTTTTAAGCTCAAAAAATGTGCTGAAAAACTAGACTTATACTCGAGTATATACTGTAGTAGTTTGTCTTCCAATCGCTCCACGTGTGTTGCAAGATTGTTGTGGGCAGCCGCCATTTCGTCCATTTTCATTTCCATGTGCGACGTTCTCTTGCCTATTTCTTGGACATCTTTACGAAGGGAGTCCATGGAATGCTGCCAGGACCCAATCAGCTTTTGGGACAGGGCTTCCAATGCTTGAGTTAGGTGGCTTTTTGTCAGGGCATCCCCTGGTTCAGGTATGCTTTGCGAGGCACTATCATCGTCGGTACCCTCGTCGCCATCTTGGGTAGACGGTAGTAGGCCGAGTGTGATAGATGAGGTTTCTGTTGAAAGAAATTAAATTTTTCAGCTTTTGTCGAGTTCTTCTTGCTTTTGTGTTGCGACATCTTCTGTGTTGAAGTTTGTGATGCGTTCTGTGTGGTAGGATTGCAACGGATTTTCAGCCCGTTTGCCGGAGTTTAGGATTATGCGTCCATCTTGTCCGGCAGTCGGCCACGCTCCCCCTGGTAAATTACATTTTTAGTAGTGCATGTAATAAAATCTTTAATATTATATGTTATATTGGTTTTATTAGATTGGAAGTATGTGGTTTTGGGTTTAGTCGACTGATCTGTGCATTTTCACACTTTGCAATGTTTGCATTTAACGAACCCTTTTATATTGGTTAAAAAACAGGTTTGTGACCTGTTTGTGCTTTCTTTAGTGTAGTTGGAGGTTAGAATAGATTTCAACCTAGGGGCTCCTCTGAAAACAATGTTTGGTCTTTCTGGTATGATTTTCTTAAGAGTATCATCATGTTGTAATAAATGCCAGTGTTTATTAATCATTTTTTTAACATGGTTACTTTTATTATTAAAATTAAAAATAATCGGAAAACTAGAATGGTTATCGGAGGTTTTTTCTTTGTAATTTAGGAGTTCTGTTCTTTCTTTGGTTCTAACTGCATCTATAGTCTTATTAAGGTTATCTAATGGATAGTTTTTTTCTGTGAATTGATTTTTTAAAAAAGTAGCTTGCGAATTAAAATCTTCTATTTGAGAGCAATTTCTTCTCAATCTTAAAAATTGACTTTTTGGTGCACTTTCCAGCCATGGTTTGTAGTGACAACGTGAGCGATCAATGGCTGTATTTGTGCACACTTTTTTAAAAAAGGTTTTAGTGTTTAAAATGTCATTTTTAATAAAAATTTCCAGGTCTAAAAAAATAATAGTGGTTTTACTGTATTCACAAGATAAAATAATGCCTCTGTTATTACAATTAAGGTGATTAATAAATAATTTTAAAGAATCTTCTGAGTAAGGGGGTATCAGCCGTTGGAGATTTCCTTTTCCTGGCAAGATGCTGTGTAGTAATGGAGTTCTTAATCCCATCCACGAAATCCAAGGGTAGAGTCAGGCATAACTGTTAACTGGAGCAGAGTAATGGTACAGTAAATCCCCTTCCAAGAACGAGACGAGGCTACGTTTTGAAGGGTCAAGCAGAACTCAGGTTTATTGACAGGGGTCTCCTTTTATGCAATGCTGCCCTGGAAAGGGCTACACCTTCATAATTATCACAATACCCAATCACCAACATGGTACAACCCACACGTCTCCTCCCCTCAGATAAACATGTAACATAATTAAAACACACACAATTTTACCCAAGTTCTGGATGTACCCCAAAACCAGGGGGTATACCCTTAAATCCAGTATCCAGATAGCTCTTGCTCAGGGGAACAACATATCAAAAATCCAGCCCATTCGGGTAAAGCATTTGGGAGTTATGGGTCTTTGAAGTTTTGACCGGTCGGTCCCCGTTCGTGCATTAAAACCCCACGAAAATCTTACCATCCACAGTTATCATGACGTTCGCCAGAATCCCCATGCATAGTTTAATCTTTCTACCGAACGGCGGGCCGTTCGGGAGTTTCAGCACGAATCCACGTTATGGAGGTCTCAACGGTGTTCGCCTGTTTGCGTATCTGTTTTTACTTCCACACGATTGATGGCAAAATACCGCTGTTTGTGTGTAAGATGGCCGCGAACACGTGCAAAGTCCCGAAATGGCGGCCACCTATTCTTTACACAAAGGATTCGTGCTGAACCATGCGAACGGCTGTGCTGCACTGGGAGGTAAAGTATCACTTAACTTTTACTTCAGGGTGGTCCGGTGTTCGGTAGTTTGGATTCGTTTTTCTTGGGCAATGGTGGTTCGCATAAACAGGCAAGTCGGCTTATTTGTACATCCATGGTATGTAATTGTTAAAGAAGTCCAGGCAGAAATTGTAATCCTGTTACAGTATCTATTTCTTTATTTCTATTTCTTTCTTTCTATCTATTTGTATCTATCTCTTTCTATCTAGCTATCTATTTCTTTCTATGTGTATCTATCTATTTCTTTCTTTCTGTTTCTATTTGTATCTATTTCTTTCTATATATATATTTGTAGCTATATGTTTCTTTTTATCTATCTATTTGTATCTATCTATTTCTTTCTATTTCTATCTATTTCTTTCTTTCTATTTCTATCTATTTCTTTCTATCTATATATCTATTTGTATCTATATTTCTTTATTTCTATTTCTATCTATTTCTACCTATTTCTTTCTCTCTTTCTATTTCTATCGATTTCTTTCTTTTTATTTATCTATCTATTTATTTCTATCTATTTGTATCTATTTCTATCTGTTTCTTTCTATCTATTTCTTTCTTTTTTTCTTTCTATTGATCTCTATTTCTATCTATTTCTTTCTCTCTTTCTTTCTATTTCTATTTATCTATTTCTTTCTATCTGTTTCTATCTATTTATCTCTTTCTATCTGGCTATCTCTTTCTGTCTATCTATCTCTTTCTATCTATCTATTTGTATCTATTTATTTCTATCTATTTGTATCTATTTCATTCTATCTATCTATCTATCTATCTATCTATCTATTTCTACCTATTTCTTTCTCTCTTTCTTTTTCTACCTATTTCTATCCATCTATTTCTTTCTATCTATTTGTATCTATCTATTTCATTCTATCTATTTGTATCTATCTATTTCTTTCTATCTATCTATTTGTATCAATGTTTCTTTCTATCTATTTGTATCTATATGTTTCTTTCTATCTATCTTTTTGTATCTATCTATTTCTTTCTTTCTATATATTTCTATCTATTTCTACCTATTTCTTTCTCTCTTTCTATTTAGCTATTTCTTTCTTTCAATTTATCTATTTCTTTCAATTTATCTATTTCTCTATATCTATTTCTTTTTATCTATCTTTCTATCCATTTCTATTTCTACCTATTTATTTCTCTATTTCTATCTATCTATCTTTCTAGCTATTTATATCTATATATTTATCTATTTATATAATCTATTTCTATCTGTTTCTGTCTATTTCTTACTATCGATCTATGTCTCTATTTCTTTCCATATATCTATTTGTATCTATTTCTCTCTATATATTTCTTTCTATCTAATTCTATTTCTTTCTATCTATTTATCTCTCTATATTCCTCTATTTCTATATTTCTATCCATATATTTCTTTTTTTCTATTTCTATCTATTTCTTTCTTTCTATCTAATTCTATATATCTTTCTATATATGTATCTCTATCTCTATTTCTATCTAATTCTATTTCTTTCTATCTATTTCTTTCTTTCTATTCCTATCTATTTGTATCCATCTATTTGTTTCTATTTATCTATTTGTATCTATCTTTCTATCTCTTTCTAGCTATCTTTATTTCAATCTATCTATTTCTATCTATCCATCCATCTGTCTGTCTCTACCTATTTCTATATTTATTTATTTATATCGATATATCTATTTCTTTCTATTTATCTATTTATATCTATCTATTTCTTTATATCCATTTATCTCTTTCTAATTCTATCTATATTTCTTTCTTTATATCTATCTGTAAAATCTTGTTGGAATAATCATCACTGTTAAATCTTCCTAATTTCTTCTTGTCTTCAGTTGATTGATATATATACGTCTTTTGTATATATAGTCTTGGGCCAAATGCTCTCCACAATAATATATGTCTATATTATTGAAAAGTACTAATACGCAATCTGACTTACGGTTTCTTCAGGTTTATTCTTAGTTACGGATACATAATAAAACATAATAAAGGATGTTACAGGATAGTGGACATTCAACAGCAGATTGTAATTGCTGGACTTCTTTAAATCCTTACATCTTTACATCGAGAGAGAGCCAGAACCAAGACAGAGCGACCTTGTGCCCCTCTGTTACTATATAGATGTGCTCATACTAACGTCAGCATTTAACTCTAGCCATATAAGGACAAGACCCCCAAATCCACATTCCAGAGCTCTCGGACAAAGAAAGCCTTGTGACTTAGACCATCTGTTACTTATGTCAATCCACACATCCATATATAATCAATAGAAACATAGAATATGCAATATTCTACATTCCCTCTGTTTATGGTTTGTCTTAAAACCATAACACAATGTAATAACCTGTCCATTCATACATCATGTATCACATTCATTGAGCATAGAACAAGATGTAGTCACAACTTTCTATTATATGAGAGTTCTTAGAAGGTCGAGTTTCTATCCCTCATACTGCTTACTTTACTTCAAACTCCCTCTGTTTCAGCTATGTATTGATATCCATATCCATGTTACATCATAACTACTTGAACATAATATATACATATATATAACAATAATAAATGAATAAAATAAAATATTTACAAATGTTGATCCAATAAGCAATGTAAAGCAATGAGAAAGATCAACCTGCTCAGCTACAGTCATGTCTTTGTAGACAACAAAATCAAGATGATAACTTTCTAGATAATAACTATGTATCACTATCATATTCCTATAGACATATATAGTATAGTATTTTCATTCTCAATACCTGATATTACTTAAGTACTAATACATGTATTACTAGAATATCCTGTCCAATTATATTTCCATGAATCATCTGTTTTCTAGTAACTTAAACTCTTTAGGTCATTTGTATTCAAGAATTACATTCCTATACCATTAATACCACCTAGTGATGATTGTATCAGTACGTTACAATCATAGTATTTCATTTGTATATTCAGTAGGCTCTCACTACCTAAAATATATCAACACTACTTATAAGTCTCATTCAAAGGATGTGTTATCAACCATGAAGTTCTACAATGATTCTTCAAATAATGTTCATGGTGTTGACAATACTTATTGTTCTAGAAATTCCCCACCCATACATCTTTCTATCATAGATTTTTTTTTTCTTTACATAATTATAATTTTGACTACTATTCTACCTTGTAGTAACAAACTTTTCATTCAATAGAAACATAGTTTACTTTAAAATAACTAGGAAAGAACAATTTAAATTCATTATTATATGAGACCTTCTAAGAACTTTCTGTAATACATCTTAAAAGCAGGATGTTCTGGCCAATCCGTATTCCTTAGTACACTTCAACTGACTAAAATAAAATAAACAAAACTTGGGGTCATACTGCCCAGAAACTCTTCTTCCTAGTCTGTGTCTAACAAACTCAGGGGAATCATAAAACAACTTATTCATTGGATATCACCATATCCAGAAACCTATTCTCCCTAGTCCATAGACTAAGGTCAACTATAATTGTGTACTATACTCTTAGCTAAACTTCAATTAAATTCCTCTTGGATTTCTGAACTCTTATATCCAAGGCATTCTTAATGTATACCATTACTTAATATTACTCAATATAAATTATCCTTCCTTAGTTTTCTTCCTTTTGTTACCATTGTTTGTTTTACTTCACCTCGATTATAAACAAAATATTTATTCTAGTGAATCTATGAAATACTATTGCACTCAATCTTTGTAGTATTAAGTAACCATGATCCTTATTTTATCCACTTCATATTTTATCTACCTCTGATACTTCTCATCCTATGTATAGGTAATAATGTAATAGTTCTCTTCATAATACTATCCTATAATAATTTTACTCCATGTGTTATATAGTTATAAGTACTCTCTTTTGGTATTAATACTCATAACTGTTAAATAACTTTTCATTGTCTCTTTTCTTCTTCGTTAATATTTAGGAATTGATATTCTTCTTTTTTTTTAAATACTTTATTGTGTAAAAGTAACAGTACAAGTTATACATTCCTGAATACAGTGTCACGACTGAATATAGATAAAGAGCAAAACCCTTGGGTAGCGATATCAGCTATCACAGGGGAGGGGTGGGTAAAGGGGGGGTACAAGGTGTCTGTGGCTGCTTTGGAGAGCTTGTGTGGTGCTACGGGTAGAGGGGGTCAGGTACTTGCGATGCGTGTCTTTGTTTGTGCGGTTCTTGTGTCTGCCTTTATTTGTTATTCATGAATTCCTCCCATGGCTCCCATATTTCTCTGAAGAGTGCATGTTTGTGAGAGAGGGATGCGTGTATCTCCTCCATGACCCTAATTGATTCTACCTTAGCGATCCATTCCCTGATTGATGGAGCTGCGGAATTTTTCCACTTAACTGGTATGAGTAGGTTGGCAGCGGTGATGAGGTGAGTGAGTAGGAGTCGTTGTGGTTTCAGAAGGGCTGCGGTAGTAGTAGGAATATTAGTGTAAGCGGGGTGTGCGGTATTTGGACATTTGTGATAGTTAAGAGTAATTTCCCTATGTTTTCCCAGAATTTCTGGATTAGTGGGCAGCGCCACCAGGTGTGTGCTAGGGGGGCCCCTGGTGTGGAGCACTTCCAACACACGGGGGCATTGGGAAAGAGATTATGGAGTTTGGCTGGGGAGTAGTGCCATCTAGAGACTCTCTTGTAGTTGCCTTCCTGTATGGCGGTGCATACAGAGGTTTTGTGCATCTGTGTAAAGATAGTATGCCATTGTGTGGACGAAATTTGGATGTCTAGATCTGCGGACCAGGATTCTGTGTAGCGAGGTAAGGTGACACTGAGATGTGACCACAGGAGTCTATAAAATGTCGATAGTTGTTTAGTTTTGACGTTTTTTTACCTTACAGTGGATTTCAAAAGCAGAGAGAGGGCGCGATCCTCCATAGAGAACGGGATTGGCGTTGATGAAGTGTGTCATTTGTATGTAGAGAAGCGTTTGCATAGCTGTAGGGGTATCCTGCCGTGCTATGCGTTGTAGTGGTTTTACAGAGTGTCCGTCTAGTATAGTGCTCAGTGTGATGTGTGTCTCGTCGGTTATGTTTAGGAGGCGTTGGAAAGGTCCTGCCTGCAGTCCTGGTTGGAATAAGAGGTTATGAGTTATGGGAAACAGTGGGGATGGATGTGGGGAAAGATCCACTATCATCCTAATACGTGCCCAAGTCCGGAGTGTGGGGGCAATGGTGGGGTGTGTAGCGTGATCTGGTGTCAGCAACACTGATCTCTGTGTGTGCCATGGCGCGGTATGCAGAGGGACACTAAACATTGAGCTTTCTAACATGGTCCACTGTTTAGCTGGGGGATGGGTAGACCATTCGTAGATTCGAGACAGTATGACTGCTTCGTAATATTTCTCTAGGTGGGTCATCCCTAGTCCGCCTGCGGACTTGCTTCTAGTGAGGGTGTCATATGGGACTCTGGGGTGTTTGTGCGCCCATATGAAACAACCTCTTGATTTTGGCAAAGAAGGGTATGGTTATGGGTAGGGTCTGTAACAGGTACAGGATCTTGGGGAGGGTGTTCATTTTGAGTATGTTAATTCTACTCAACCATGAGTGTTGTATTTTGTGCCATGCCGTAAGATCCTTGGAAATGGCTTGGGCAAGTGGTTCAAAGTTAAGATCAAATGTAGAGTCTAGGTGTATTGGGAGTTTCACCCCTAAGTATGTAATTGCAGTGTCAGCCCATGTAAATCGGAATTTTTGTTGTAAGGCAGATCGCGTTTGGGTGGTCATGCGGAGTGGGAGAATTTCGCTTTTGGAGAAATTTACCTTGAAATTTGATAGTGTTTGGTATAGAGATACTTCTTCCAAAAGGGGGGGTAGTGAGACATCGGGCGACTGTATGGTAAAGAGGAGGTCATCCGCAAATGCCGCTATTTTGTATTCCGTCTGTTGTACATGTATGCCTCTAATCTCTGGGTTTCCCCTGATGCCATTTAGGAAGGGTTCGAGGGTTAAGATGAACAGTAAGGGGGACAGGGGGCACCCCTGTCTCGTGCCATTTCTGATTGGGACTGGGTCTGAGAGTTGCCCATTGACCTTTAGTCTAGCAGTAGGGGAGGATTAGATGGATTGCATCCATCTTATCCAGTGTGGTCCAAAGCCTAGTTTGCGAAGAGTAGCTATCAAATGCCTTCTCCGCGTCGATGGACAACAGAAGGCTATCTGTCGGGAGGCGTTGCGCTAGGTATATGAGGTTTAAGATTTTGGTTGTGTTATGTTTCGCCTCTCTATTTGGGAAGAAACCTGCTTGGTCTACGTGAATCAGGGATTGGAGCAGAGGGCGTAGGCGGTTAGCCAGGATTTTCGCGAAAATCTTTAAGTCAAGATTTATGAGGGATATGGGTCTGTAGCTGCCGCAGTTGGTTGGGTCTTTCCCTGGCTTGGGGATGAGGGTTATGTGCGCTTCTAGTGCTGGAGTGGGTAGGGTGGATGTTAATGCTAAAGAGTTGAATGCTAGTGCAAATGGTTCCGTCAGTTGTTCCAGAAAGGTCTTGTAATATTTGGCCGTGAAGCCATCGGGCCCAGGGCTTTTGCCTAGTGGGAGGTGTTTGATAACCGAGTGTACCTCGTCAGGGTGTAATGGGGCGTCTAGTGTCGCTAACGCCTGATCTGGGATCGTGTGATTTATCCTTGAGGCTAGGAAGTGTTCGATATCGGTATGTGAGGGGGGTGCATCACTGAGGTTATATAGGTCCGTGTAGTATGTTTGAAATGCCTGCAGAATGTCTGGAAGTCGATAAGATATGTCTCCCTTGGGGGTTTTGATTTTGGAGATGAATATCGACTGTCTCTGTTGTCGAAGTGAGTGTGCTAGTAAGCGGCCGCTTGTGGGTTTGTTCGAGGGATCTAATGTCTTTTGTGAGGGCCTGGATTTTGGCTTCTCGTAATTTTTTGTGTCTGGATGCTATCCCTATGAGTTCTCCTCTGAGGACGCATTTGTGGGCTTCCCACGTGGTTGGTGGGGCCGTGGAGGGTGATGTGTTAGTAGAAAAATAGGTCTGCAGCGAGTCTTTAACTTTTGCAATTACGCTTGGGTCGTTGAGGAGCAGATCATTCAATTTCCATTGAAAGGTTTTCTGCGGCAACGTGGGTACATGGATGGCAAGAGACAGGGGTGCATGGTCTGACCATGTAATGGGTTCGTAATTGGTGGCGCGTATCAGGTGGAGATACCTGTGGGGGGCGGAAAACATGTCCAGTCTAGAGTATGTATTTGCGGTAGGGGAGTAGAAAGAGAAGTTTTTGGCTGCTGGGTGAGTAGTGCGCCAGCAGTCATTTAGTTGTGCTTTGTCTAACATTACAGTCATTTGTTTGCGGGCGGATGCATGATATAGTGTGGTATGTGAAGTAGTGTCTAACTTGGCATCTATGGAAATGTTGAAGTCCCCTCCCACCATCAAAATTCCCTCTGCAAATCGTTCTATGCCCTTAATTTGTTTCTTAAAGGTTTTGCATTGGTGTTTGTTTGGGAGGTATACATTAGCTAATGTGACTGTAGTTTGGCCTATTTGGCCCTTGACAAGAAGAAGCCTCCCCGTGTCGTCGGTCTTGTGTGCCAGGTATGTAAAGGGTAACTGGGCTGAAATAAGTATTGTAACTCCTCGTGCCTTGGAGTTTTTATAATTGCTGAAGTAACCTCTTGGGTATTTCCTGTTTCGCAGGGCGGGGGCTATGCCTTCCTTGAAATGTGTTTCTTGAAGGAAGGCTATGTCAGCCTTCAGGTTGTGTAATTCGTTGAGTGTCATTTTCCTCTTTTGGGGGGTGTTTAGCCCCCTAACATTGAGGGTAATGATATTGATATCGGCCATCAGGGGTTTGCAGTGTGTGATTGAGCTTGGATTTGCTGCCGTTAGCTCAGGGTAGGGGGAGTGGGTTTGTAAGGGTGAGTGTATGGGGTAGTAACTTCAACTAGATAACTATGTACAGAGGGTCGAAACGTCTACAGGTACTGAGTTTATCAGCAGGGGTGTAGATCGTGTGGGGGTTCTCTTGGTGTACTGACTTAGGTGAAATTGGAGCACCTAAGTATCTGGTGTGCACCTGGGTAAGGTCGGTATGACCTGGTTGTGGAGCCGAGCGTGGAGCGTAAGCACGTGGGGGATGGGATACGTGTTTCGCTGTCGTATAACGGTGTAGCTTATAGGTACAATGTTGGATGTCTGCTTCAGAAAGGAATCCTGTTTGTGGTGTTTGTGTTTGATTAGGAGTGGGCTTTGTCGTTGTGTGGGGTGAGTGTGTAATGAGCCTGTGCTGTGCCTCCTGTGTGGGTTAGAGGTGTCAGTTCGGGACTGTCCCCTGCATCTGTGTAGTTAAGTGTGTGGAATTCTGCTCCCATAAGTTAATGTATCTGTGAGACTAACTCTGGTTTTTGGCATTAATGGTGCCTTGCTCTGTATAGATACAGTTTCATTGTGGAGGTTCATTGGGGGAGCGATTCCTATGGAGACAGCAATGCAACATCTAATTTGTACCTCTCTGTCCGTCGTCTAGTCTCCTGTCGTACCCTGAGATATTTGTTTCATGTTTGGTCGGTAGCTGGCGAATGTGACGTTTCTTGTGGGCTATATTCTGGAGGGGGGAGGGATCTCTGTCCCGGTCGGATGGATGGGTCTGGGATTCGGTTTCGGGGATCAGTCTTAAGTAGGGGGCGATTCAGTTTTGGGGAAGGTTGGTCGATATTCTTCTCCTGGCTGTCTGTCCCACAGTGCACTGGTAATTCCCTCAGTAAGCCGTGAACCCCTGTTGGTTCTTGAGCAGTTTGCTGTCTGCCTAGCGTCTGTCACCTTGTCGTCAGGTCGTGTTTCACCTGCAGCCGGCGGGGGGTGAGCGAGTTGGTGATGGGGAGGGTCGCCTGTGGTCGGTGTGCGTCATGGCATGGGAAAGGAGGGGTCAGTCGTTGTCCCTGCATACCTTGTGAGGAGCTGGGAATAGTGAGAAAGGGGAGGGGGAAAGAGCTTTACTAAGAGAAAGTGCTGTAGTCGGGGGTGGGAAAGTAATGGGCGGGGGCCTTTCATTGTCCGGTCGATAGTCTGGTACATCTTAAGACAGCTAACAAACATTTCTGTGTAATCTAGCGGTATCGAGGCATTCAGTGAATATACGATTAACTAACTAATCGCCGGTAGCACCGGCCTCCGTACCAGGGGGTGACTATCGGACAACCCGCAGGGAGAGTTCGGGGATCCGCCGCCAACCCTCACAGCGGGATCACGAATGTAGGTGGGTCTTTAGGCCCCCGCCGCTCGCCCTGCATCGAATACCGGGATTTCCGGTACAGTCCGCATAAGAGTCAAACCTGGCAAGTCATTCAGGGCCCCTCGAACCACCAATCTCCTCACCCATGATATCCCCTACAGGCTGGGGTCAAGTCCCTAGGTCGAGCCTTCCTGTAGTGAGTTTTGAGACCCCCATGGCTGATCATGGCGGTATACCGGGAAGGTAGAAGGGTCCTTAGGAAAATGGCGTTGGTCAACAGTGGGTTGCTTTCAGTGTTTAGAAAGGGGGTAGTAGTCCGGCAATAGTCAGAGGCATTAAATTCTTGCGTGTCCCGTGTGTCTGTGTGGCCTTTCTGGGGTTGATTAAGTAGTGCGTTCTGCAGCTTACTGACCTTGTTGCTTGTTATTTCTGTGGTTGCGGCGTCCGGACCGTGCAACTTCGGGGCCCCAATCATGTTGTAGCGCGGTCAACATTTGAGGAGGATGTGTGAGGCACAGCACCGGCCTTGTGGCATATCTGCGGTGTAAATTGTGGAGAGTTTAGTTTCTTATTGGCGGGTGAGATGTTGGGTTGGTTCACCTGTCGACTTGTCCGGGAAGTCCACCCTCCGCTTCATAGGTGAATGTTGCCTGCGCGTGTGTTGTGGCTGTCCCATCGTGTTCGGGGTAGGGATGGGGCCGTACCAGTCTTGGATCCTGACCTCCGACAGATCGAGGTCTCGGGTAAACAGCGGTATATCAGCAATCGAAGAGATGGTGTGTGGGATGCCCTTGCATATTACGGTGAGTGAGAAGGCAAAGCCCCACCTGTATCGAAGATTTCTGGCACGGAGTTGATCCGTAATGGGCCTCAGGGCCCGACGGGCCTGTAGTGTTAGCCATGAGACGTCTGGATATATCGCAATGGTCGCATCGTGGAATAGAAGTGGTTGCTGCGACTGTCTTAGCGCATCCAGGATTTTTGACTTGCACTCAAAGTAGTGGAGTCTGCACACCACGTCGCGAGGTTGGTCCGGGTGGGCCCCTTTTGGGCGCAGAGCTCTGTGCGCCCTCTCAAATAACACTGGGGTGTCCGCGGGCCTGTTCAGTAGGAGGTTGAATAATTCCTGCAGTATGGCCTGTAGGTTTTCGCATTCCACTTCGGGTAGGCCTTTCACTCTGAGATTATTGCGGCGCCCCCTGTTGTCTTGGTCATCCATCGAGCGCTGCATGCCAGAGTAGTGGTCTGTATGTGAGGCAACCGTTTCTCTTAGTTTGTTTATCTGCACCTGCATGGTATCTCTATCATCTTCCAGAGTCGTGACCCTTTGTGCTGTTTGTCGGAAGTCTGCACTTATGGCCTCTAACTTGGCCTGGAAGGATGTCTCCAGGTTGTGTAGCATGTGGGCCAGGTCTTGCTTGGAAGGTAGCGCTCGTAGCATATCTCTAATATCCCCATCAGTGGAGTGTAGCGTTCCTTCCGACCCCGAGGGACTGGATGGCGGCGATGAGGCCTTAGGTGAGTCCCGTGTCGGGTTGAGGCCTACCGGGTCGGGCGGGTGATCCGCTGTATCTCTGAAATATTTTGTTAGTGCCCCCGATTTTCCGGCAGGAGTCTTGCCTGATGTTTGTTGGGAAGCTTGGGGCCGTTTGGGGTGTCCCATCATGTAGTTTAATGCCCAATGTTTTGGGATTCACTTTCCTAGGCAGAGGAGCTCTTCTAGCACACGTCCATATGGCTTGGCAGTCGGCTCCGCCCCCTTAGGAATTGATATTCATGTTAGTGCCAATCTTTTATTTCTTTGTAAGTCTGTTAATCTTCTGTATCGAATGAACTCTATAGAATCTTCCATCACAGTTTGCAGATCAGATGAAAAGTCTCTTTCCAACAGTCGATGTCCAGTTATCTGAAGGAATGCTTTCCTGATTTATTGCCACATGGATCTGTCACGCTTTACCTACATTAAAACAAAAAACATGTGCAGCATCAATACAATGGCTTGCAATGTTTATATTTCATTATTATTATGCAGTTTAACATTGAATTACATTGACTACACAAAACATACTAATTTCTTCTCATGAGATCTACCATCTAGTGGTCATTACATTTATGCCATTTTATGTATAATTTTTACATTTCCTTTATATTAAAATCTTTCTGAACATTTTAATTTTCCAAACATTTTATTAATCATACCTTATTAATCATACCCCCCTTTAAACTGTTTAATAATCTGGAGGTATAACCTAATCACATGTCAGATGTTACAACTAAATATTGTTTTCCACTATACTTTAGCAATAGCAGCCATCTTGTCTGGCACCATTTTGTCACATGAAATAAACTACAAAAAACATATATTGTTTCCTACATCAAATGTATTTGTAAATCTAGGTTTTATCCTATCAAAACATTTGTCTTCTATGTAGTCAAAACATATGTATGTCCAGGCTTTGCAAAATATAGTAATCCATTATCAGTCATGACATTAAAGGACCACTCTAGGCACCCAGACCACTTCAGCTTAATGAAGTGGTCTGGGTGCCTGGTCCTTCTAGGGTTAACCCATTTTTTAATAAACATAGCAGTTTCAGAGAAACTGCTATGTTTATCAATGGGTTAAGCCTTTCCCTAATCTCTAGTGGCTGTCTCATTGACAGCCACTAGAGGCGCTATGCTTCTCACTGTGATTTTCACGTGAGAGCACGCAGCGTCCATAGGAAAGCATTGTAAATGCTTTCCTATGCGATCGCTGAATGAGCGCCAGCTCTTGCCGTCGCGGCGCGCATTCAGCCGCAGGAGGATCGGAGGAGGAGAGGAGGCAGAGAGCTGCCCGCCCAGCGCTGGAAAAGGTAAGTTTTAACCCCTTTCCCCTTTCCAGAGCCGGGCGGGAGGGGGACCCTGAGGGTGGGGGCACCCTCAGGGCACTATAGTGCCAGGAAAATGAGTATGTTTTCCTGGCACTATAGTGGTCCTTTAAAATCTCATTCTCATGAATTAAATCAAAGATTTTAAATCAACCTCAGAAGCAACAAGGAATATATCCATTGTTTTTTCCTTCTGTAAAAAGATTGGAGTTACTGTATAATCGCATACACCCAATATAACATACATTGCATGTTCCTAACTGCTACATTAGTGTATTTCATTCTGCCATATTTGCAAACTTGATGTAAATTTTTATTTTAATGAATTAACCTAATACTTTCTTATAACACACATAAAAACAGTTCAGACTAACAATTCAGTAAAACAACAAACTAACTCTATTCTTGTGTGCTGTTCTTAATTCTGTAATCAGCCTGTGTACATCTATTGGCACACATATCCATGCTCATTCCCTAAACTGATCATATCTCTTGAAGTTATCTGATTCTTATAACTTCCTGTGTTACACTGCATTGCTTGTCTGTCTCCTAATTTCAATTTAGCTAAAATTGCTCTTATTTGTCTGATTATCAGTTTACAAGGAAAGGCTTTAATTGATTTATCCCCACATGTATTTTCTCTGTCAAAATTTTCAATCAACAAATTTAATTTCTCATTTGCTTTTGATTTGATATCTCGGATAAAATATCTGCAAGATCTTAAATAATGTTGTTTATTGCACCAAAAACAAATAATTTTAGGAGTTATATTCTGCCTTTAATTATCAACTGTGCAGTTTCTAGTTGAACAAATTGGGAGGGGCTCAGCTCTCTGTATCACTCTTTTACACTCTGTCCTAGAAGAAGGAGGAGGGGGTTGAGGGGTGTCAAATCTGCACTTCTTTCTCTGCCTAATTCCACAAGTCATTTTAACCCCTTCATTATTGGTTACCTTCCTTAAGTTATCTAAGAATAAAGCAACGTCATTCAAAGTGCTTTTTTCTCTAGCAATTACAATTGCAGTTGGATCTAGATCTTGAAATTTTTTCACAAATTCATTAATTAACTGATCTTCAGGAAAATTAGCAACAAGTCTATATGCATTTTCAAATTTTACAAGAAAACTAAATATATCCTTCCCCTTGTGTGGTTTTAGTTTTTCCAGCATTTCAGTGTCTGCAAAATCATTCCCTGTTGTTAATTTTATTAATTGTGTTAATCTGTCTTGCTTATTTCCACATACTATTTCATCATCGTCCTCACATTTTACAGGCCATTTGAGTCGGCAGCCATATTTGAAATAGTCTATTCCTTTGTTCATCATTTAGGCTATATTTGTCCACATTTGACTCAAACATTTCAGCATTAGTAAATGCATCCACTGACGTGTCATAAACTGGAATACATTTCACAATTTTCAGTAATTGTTCATGGATTTTCAAATTAAGTTTTGCAGCTCTGTATTGAAATTTACATTTCTGCAAATCACTCTGTGAGGGTACATTTTCAGTATCTATTGGTTCTGGGATTAAATTCTGTGCCTGTATTTTTCTTGTATTAACACACACTTGCTTAACTTCATTTGTAAGCTGGCAACTAAGATAATTTCTTAGTTCAACTCTATCCTCTAGTTCACAGATGGTTTCTGACAATGTTCTCTCTGTTACATTGTTACACTGTTCATTTAAATCTGATTTGTCTTCTGTTAACCCATTCAAATCTATTTCTTTATCTGCTAATTCTAAATTGTCTTGACCTGCATCTCGTTTACAAATCAATGCATTGTAAGTACAGACTAGTTTCATAACATTTCTGATCTTTAGTTTTTTCTTATTAACAAACAATTTCTTGTCAATTTCACTATTGGCAATTTCACATTGTGTGTATAAAGATTGCCACAAAACAGCATCTGAATAGCTGTTATTAAATGCAAACTGCAATTTACTTTTCTCTGCCATATCGTTTATGAATTCCATGTTACTCACCAGATCAGTTACTTCTGTCTATTTAGTTGCTTCAGTCACACAGCTGCACAGTTCTGGGCTTGAATCTGGATGATTGCCAATCTCTGCCACGTGCTTGCTTCTAGAATTCACGTTGTATCTTGTGCTGCTTTTTTTATACCACGTGCTTTTGTCTGTTGTAGAATATAATCTTGGAACAGTCTTTGTGATTTGAAAATCTTTGTCTTCTGATAAACACACACAGCTCTTAACACGGCTTTTAACACGGTTCTTTTTTTCTGTTCAAGTTTGTTTTCCCAGTTCCAAAATAGCGGTGTAACTCGATTCTTCTCTCTCCCCCCTTGAAGTGGGAACAAACCTTGAATAGAAGATTGGCTGGCTAGCCAATGTAAAATCTTGTTTGAATAATTGTCACTGTTAAATCTTCTTAATTTCTTCTTGTCTTCAGTTGATTGATATATATACGTCTTTTGTATATATAGTCTTGGGCCAAATGCTCGCCACAATAATATATGTCTATATTATTGAAAAGTACTAATACGCAATCTGACTTACGGTTTCTTTAGGTTTATTCTTAGTTACGGATACATAATAAAACATAATAAAGGATGTTACAGGATAGTGGACATTCAACAGCAGATGGTAATTGCTGGACTTCTTTAAATCCTTACATCTTTACATCGAGAGAGAGCCAGAGCCAAGACAGAGCAACCTTGTGCCCCTCTGTTACTATATAGATGTGCTCATACTAAAGTCAGCATTTAACTCTAGCCATATAAGGACAAGACCCCCAAATCCACATTCCAGAGCTCTCGGACAAAGAAAGCCTTGTGACTTAGACCATCTGTTACTTATGTCAATCCACACATCCATATATAATCAATAGAAACATAGAATATGCAATATTCTACACTATTTCTTTCTGTCTATCTATCATCTTACTATCTATTTATCTATTTCTTTCTATCTTTCTATCTATATTTCTATGTATCTATCTATCTCTATCTATCTATTTCTACTTCTTTTTTTTTTGTAAATTCTTTATTTTATTTTATTGAGGCATTTGAGTAATACATATCAGAATATAACAGTAGGTGCTCACACAAGCCATGAGTGCAATCAAGGAGCAAAAGGTAGCCTCTTTTTCTTTTTTGCAAGTACATAAAAACGGTACATGTACTATGTTCAAACAGTTAAAGATATACAATGTTAAGATGCACTATATGTGAGGTGACCGGAATGGCATTGTACATATTAAAGAACAGTTTCAAACTAAAAGCAAAAACATATTAAGCATTTGTCGTGTAAATCACAGGCTAAGTATCTGGCTATGGGTTTGCGCCTCGGCTGGTTATATAACACATTCGTACAGAGATAAACTGTCTAGAGCAAGGTAGGTATTAATAGGTTGTGTCAGGCAAGGTATTAACCTCTTAGAGGTTTTGTAACACATGGGTTATTTGGTATGAACATGTTGAAGTGTTTGGGTAGACATGCGGTGAGGGAATCAAGCATAGTTCTTGCTTAAGTTGGTTAGGTATACCTGTCTGTCCAGTGATGTGCACTGCTTCCGTGCAAAGTGTGAACAGCCTAGTTCACTCTGCCATAACAGCTGGTGCAAGCGAATATGTATACATATAACATCATTAGTATGGCACTGAAAAACATTGCACATTTTTTTTATAATCCGAACAGGAAGTATGTTAAAGGTTAGATAAGCTTGTGCGATTCGACGTGCTGATAGACTGAGTTAGTGGTTGATTGATTACTTGTGTATGAGTTTATTCGCTAAGTCGTGCGTTAACCTAGATTTTCGTGAGATAGGTAAAATGAATCATGTTTAGTATCAGTCCGGTAGGGGAAGGGGTAGTTATTGGGGTGGTTTGGCTGGGTAATATGGGAGGGGATGAGGGGAAGGGGGAGGTTTGGGGTTTGGGACGATCCTCGAGGGATTTTCCCAAAGGTGCCTCCCCCGTCTAGTCTGTCCCGCAGGGTGGGTTGTTCGGTAGGGTTGGGAATTCAAAGACCCATAGCTCCCATATTTTGTCGAAGTGCTTGGTGGTGTCGTGTACTAGGGAGGTGAGTTTATCCATTGTCATTGCTTCATTGATTTTGCGTTTTATGAGGGTTATGGGTGGTATGTCTGGGCTCCCCCATTTTTCTGCAATTGCTTGCCTGGTGGCTAGCGCTAGTTTGGCTATCAGCTTATTTTGTGCCCTTGGGGTGTCTCTAAGGGGTCTAGAGAGGAGCCATAACCATGGGTCCATCGGGATGGTGGTGTGTAGCGCTTGCGAGGCTAATTGTGCTATCTGTTGCCAAAGTGGGATTACCTGTGGACACTCCCACCACATGTGGATGTATTTTCCCCGATTTCCGCACCCCTTCCAGCATAGGTCGTTGTCCTTTTGTTTCATTTGTTTCAGGCGTAGGGGGGTGAGGTACCATCTGAGGAGTGTCTTATATGCTTGCTCTATGTGATTGACACAAATCGAGATGGTTGCTGTAGCCTCTGGGTCTCCTATGGGGCCTAGGTCTTTCTCCCAGGCTGCTATATAGGGCGTGGAACCCTCCCGTGTGGTTTCTGTCCTTGGTGGAGTGGGTGGTTGCTACATGCTTTTTCTAGTGGGGTGAGGGGGGTGGCGCCTGCTTTCTTTAGAGCTGGCTTGGCAATGAAGCTGCGTATTTGTATGTAACGGAAGAAGTCTCGGGTTGTGAGGGGGGTTTGTTGGGGAAGTTCCGTGAATGGTATGATTTGTTGGTCCTTATAAAATTGGTGAATGCGGGTCAGATCATTATCTTCGTAGTGGGTAAAGTCCTTTGGTGACATACCTGGCATGAACAGTGGGTTCCGGAGCATGGTCATTAGTGGGGAGGGGTGGGAGATGAGGTCGTGTTTTTCAGTGATTTTGTCCCATATTTTGATTGTGGTAAGGACCGCTGGGGAAGTGTAAGGAGCGGGGGCCAGATGTATAGGGATGGGAAGTCCTTTCCGAATATATTGTGTTCTAAAATCGACCCATTGTTTATGGCCGGGGGCGCCGTGGAGTTGAATTGTTTGTGCTATTTGTGCTGGGTGGAAGTATTGGGTGAAATTGGGCAGTGCCAGTCCACCTGCTTTGTTTGGTATGTAAAGTGTTTGGCGGGCGATCCAGGCTCTTTTGCCGGCTCATATGAATTTGTCTATTTTGGTCTGCAGGTTTTTAAAATTGGACCTGAGTATCTGAATTGGGAGGGTTTGGAAGAGGTATAAGAACCTCGGGAGGAGGTTCATTTTTATCGAGGTCATTCGGCCAATCCAAGAGATGGACATGTCTTTCCATTTTTCGAGGTCTTGTGAGGCTGTGTGAAGTAAGGGCGCGTAGTTGAGACTGTAGGTTTGTGTTAGGTCAGCTGGGAGAATGGTGCCCAAGTATTTGATGGCAGAGGTCTGGTAGTTGAACGGGTGGCGTGCATGGAGGGATTGGAGGGTAGGTTGGTCTATCTGTATCGGGAGAGCTTCGTTTTTTTTTCCAAGTTAAGTTTGTATCCGCAGATATTAGCGTATTCTGATATCGCCATGAATAGGGGTGGGAGTGAGTTTAGTGGGTCTGTGATTGTCAGGAGGATGTCGTCCGCGTATGCGGCAGTCTTGAATATTTTGGCCCTGATATGTACACCGTGTATGTCTTTGTGGGTTCTGAGGACTTGGAGTAGCGGTTCCAGGGAGATGGCAAATAGGATTGGGGAGAGGGGGCATCCCTGTCGTGTGCCGTTCTGAATTCGGAAAGATGGGTGTCTAGCCAAATGCAGGAGAAGGTTAGCTGTTGGGGAGGAATATAGCATGCTCAGAGAGTTGAGAAAGGGTCGTGGAAAACCGAACTTTTGTAATGTTGCAAATAGGAAGGGCCATAGCAATCTGTCAAATGCTTTCTCAGCATCGAGGGATAAGATCAGGGTGGGAATGCGTCTGCGGTCAGTGTACCATATGAGGTCGAAGGTGCGTCTGGTGTTGTCACCAGCCTGTCTGTTCGGGATGAACCCTACCTGGTCCGGGTGGATGAGTTTTGGCAGAAGGGGGTTAAGTCTCTCTGCCATAACCTTTGTGAATAGCTTAATATCTACATTTAGCAGAGAGATTGGCCTGTAATGCCCGGGGTCCAGATGGGATTTGCCTGGTTTCGGAAGGAGGCATATGTTTGCCTGCAACATGTCTGGGGGAAGAGGGTCCCCCTGAAGCATTGAGTTAAAGAGATCGCTTATTTGTGAAAGTGGGGCTGTTGCAAAAGTTTTGTAGTATAGACCCGGGAAGCCATCTGGGCCTGGGCATTTATTTGGTTTTAGGGTTTTGAGTGTGTTAGCTAATTCTTCTGGTGTTATTGCTTCTGTCAACCTGCTAGCTCCTTCGGGTGTTACTGAGGGCAGAGTGATAGAGTCGAGGTAGTCGTTGATTTTGGCAGTTAGCAGGGTGGGGTTGTGCCTGTGTTGGGGGCTGTGGTCGTAGAGTTCTGAGAAGTATTCTTGGAATACTGTTGCTATTTGTTCTGGCGTCTCGTGTGGATTTTGGTAATCTGTTTGTGGGCAGCTCTGCGGTTCAGTTTACAGGCGAGTAGGGTATCAGCCTTGTTTGATTTCTCATAAAAGAGCTGATGTGTCCATTGGAGGGCTTTGGTTGTGTCTGCAGACATGAAGTCTTTTATGGCTGCCTGGCATTGTGATATTTTAGCATTTAGGTCGGGTGTGGGTTGGATTTTGAATGCGGTTTCCAGTGAGCGGAGTTCTTTTAGGTTGTGTTCGAGGTTCGTTAGGCGTTGTTTTTTTGTGGTGGGAGGCCAGGTTGATCAGGGTGCCTCTGATTACCGTTTTATGTGCTGCCCATAGGATCCCCGGTGAGGTAACTGAGTGCTTGTTTAGGGAGAAGTAGTCTGAAATGGCTTGCGAGGTAGTATCGCGGATCGTGGGGTTATGTAGCAGCGTAGGGTTCAGTCGCCAGGACCATTGGTGTGTTACATTTGGTGGGTCGAATGTAAGTGAGATTTCGGCGTGGTCCGACCATGTTATTGATCCGATAGTCGTGGATTTGATCATAGGGAGCATTGATGGGGAAGTCAGGAACATGTCTATGCGCGAATGGGAGCGGTGTGGGTGGGAGTAGAACGTGTAGTCTTGGGTGGTGGGGTGTTGGGCCCTCTATACATCTATGAGACGGGTTCGTGTGAGGAAGGATTGGAAGAGTTTGTCGGGTTTAGCCGCGTGGGTGCGTGGGTTTGTTAGAGGACCTGTTCTGCACCTGTCTATCGCTGGGGATGAGGTAGCATTGTAGTCTCCTCCTAATACTAAGTGGTATCAGGAGAATAGCGCAAGATCTGCCTGTATTGTTTGCCAGAAGGAGGCTGATGGGGCATTAGGAGCATAGATTGAGGAGAGGGCGTATTTTTGAGCGCCTATTCTCCTTGCTACAGTTATGTATCGGCCTTGTGGGTCGACGTTGATTCTTTCCACTGTAAGGGGGCATGCTTTGTGTAATAAGATCGCTACTCCGTTGTGTTTGCCTGTCGGTGAGTTCGCTAGGAAGTGTCTGTTGAAATTTCGGTTTTGCAATGGGAATGCCCTGTTGTGTTGAAAGTGGGTTTCTTGCAAAAAGATGATTTGCACCCGGGTTCTATTCGCCCAGCGCATTGTTTGATGGCGTTTGAGGGGGTTGTTGAGTCAGGGGTCCGCTGGCGGCTGTGAGGGGAGGCTGCACGTGGTCTCCCCCCCTCCTACCTGTCGGCGAGCGGCGTCTGGTATCCGCCGCTCGCCGCTCACGTCCTCCATGCCTCCCAGCGGCAGCATGTATAACGCTGCACGCTGGTAGGTCGTTAATTTATGCAAACGCCGGGGTCACTCACGTGACCCGACGTTAAAGCAACAGTACCACGATCACAGTGGGAGGCGTAGATATCTACCACGTGTGATTGTTAATTCTGATTGGAAGTTATCCAATCAGAATTAAGCAAAGGGTATTTATACTTACCTTTCCTGTCTCTCAGTGCGCTGTTGTGGTCTTGTGATACCTGTATTGTAGTTTGATCGTGGTTCTCTCTGGTTACCAATTATTTGGCTCGTTATTCCGATTATCTTGTCTTCTCCACTCCTTTGACCTTGGCTTGTTTCTCGTTCTCCCGTTTTCTGGCTCCTTTTACTTGGCTTGTCTCCTGACCATTCTTAGTGTGCTTAGCCCGGCCACTCTAAGGACCGGTATAGCATCTTTCCTCTCTGTGTCCTGTTAGCGTGTTAGGTTCCGGAATCGTGACATTACAACAGGGCCACCATGGAACCTGCTGACATTCCACAGTTGTTAGTAAATCAGGAGGCTAGAATGGATGGTTTAGACCACCGTATGGATCAGTTTGCCCAGGCTTTACAAACCATACTGGTTCGTACTGCCCACTTGCAACCTGCCGTTCAAGAAGCTGCTGTTGCTGCTGTGTCAGAACCCATTCCCAATCCAGTACCTGCTCCTGCTCACATGGTTCACATGACGCCACCTCGGCGCTATAGCGGTGATCCAGCGTTGTGCCGTGGTTTCCTCAACCAAATTGATATTCATTTGGTGATGAATCCTCGTTCCTACCCCACTGACAGAACCAAAATTGCTTTTCTGATCAACCACTTGTCTGGGAAAGCTCTAGCATGGGCTAATCCCATGTGGGAGAATACATCCTCAATGTCCTTTGCAGACTTTTTGACAGCTTTTAAACGTACATTTGATCAACCCGGCAGGGTTGCTTCTGCTGGCAAAGCTCTGCTTAGGGTCCGACAGGGTAATAGATCTGTAGCGGATTATACCATTGAATTCCGCACTCTGGCAGCTGAAGTGGTTTGGAATAACGACGCCCTCGTAACAGCCTTTCAGGAGGGTTTGGCCACTTACATATTAGACGAAATAGCATCCAGGGAATTGCCTGTTCTTCTGGATGATGTAATAGATTATATCATTCTTATTGACAACCGTATTAGAGAGAGGCGTAGTCAAAGAAGAATGAATACACAGGGGTTACCTGCTTTACCTAGTACTGCATTATTAGCATTACCTCCCCCTAATCAACCACCTCCCGAACCCATGCAATTAGGTGCTGTAGGCTCAACTGAAGCTGAAAGAACATACCGCAGAAGGGAGGGCTTGTGCCTTTATTGTGGAAAGAGGGGGCATCTCCGAAGAAACTGTCCTAGTTTGCGGGGAAACTTCAGCACCTAAGGCCTAAAGAGGGGTTGGCCTTGGGTGTTATGGTTTTTTCCCCTCATGTGTCCATCTCCAGACCATTTATTACGGTTACTCTTTTGGTCAATCAAACCACTATAACAACTAAAGCCTTGATCAATTCAGGGGCTGCAGACAACTTTATGGATGAGAACTTTGCAAAAACCGCAGCCTTGAATCTGATCCCTTGGCCGTTGAGGCCATAGATGGTAGACCACTTGATAAACCTCTGGTGACTCATGAAACCCAAGAAATGGTTATGGCTGTGGGTGCCTTACACAAGGAAAAGTTAACCTTTCAAATAATTGACTCCCCTACAGCTTGCATCGTTCTGGGCTTTCCTTGGTTAGTGAAGCATAACCCGGTACTTGATTGGGGTTGTCTAGATATACTCTCCTGGGGGGAATCTTGTTAACAAGACTGTATGGCCCATTTACGTCCCGTTTGCTTACTTAATGTGCCTACAGCTAAAACACTTTCTGTTTCTGTCCCTCCTGTGTATGCAGACCTCGCATTGGTCTTTGAAAAAAGCGAAGCTGATAAACGACCCCCACACCGGGATTACCTCCTAGGGGTAAGGTCTACCCGTTTTCTGAGAAAGAAAACCAGGTCATGAAGGAGTACATACAGGAATCCTTACGTAAAGGTTTTATCAGAAGGTCCTCCTCTCCGGCTGGTGCTGGTTTCTTTTTTGTTGCCAAGAAAGAGGGCGATTTGAGGCCATGTATAGACTACAGAGGCCTGAATAATATAACAGTTAAAAACGCTTATCCTATCCCTCTCATTACTGAGTTGTTTGACCGTGTTAAAGGTTTTATATATTATACTAATCTAGACCTCAGGGGGGCTTATAACTCGTTCGTATAAAGGAGAATGATGAATGGAAGACAGCGTTCAATACACGCAGTGGGCATTACGAGTTTTTAGTCATGTCTTTTGGACTGTGTAATGCTCCTGCTGTCTTTCAGAACCTCATAAATGATGTCCTTAGAGATTTACTGCATGTCTGTGCCGTGGTTTATCTTGATGATATATTTGTATATTCTCCTGATTTGGAGTCACATCATGCCCATGTGAGGATGGTACTTAAGAGGTTGCTGCAGAACAGTCTTTATTGTAACTTGGAGAAATGTTTATTTGACCAAAAATCTGTACAATTCCTAGGGTACATCATTTCTGAACAGGGATTCAGTATGGATCCTTCAAAATTAGAAGCCATATTGTCTTGGCCTCTTCCTCAAGGCCAGCGATTTATAGGCTTTGCCAATTATTATCGCAGGTTTATTAAAAACTTTTCATCAGTCATTTCTCCTATCATGAAACTGACTAAAAAGGGTTTGCACCCCAGGGTTTGGACTCCTGAAGCCGTTAAAGCCTTTGAGACTCTCAAAAAGGCATTTGCCACTGCCCCTGTGCTACACCATCCTGATCCTTCCCTTCCCTTTGTTATGGAAGTAGACGCTTCAGAATCAGGTGTAGGAGCTGTATTATCACAAAGACTATCGTATAACGAACCCCTCCATCCCTGTTGTTACTTTTCTAAAAAACGGTCTGATTCGGAAAAGAATTACGACGTCGGGAACAGGGAACTATTAGCTATTGTGATGGCTTTTTTTTTTTTTTAATTCTTTATTTTTGCAGTGCAAAACAAAATAAGTCATAACAGCAGGCGTGTGGTGCCCCAATAGCATTCCTCACGCTGAATATCAACATTTTTAACAATGGGGTTTCCATAAATCCTTGCACATTTTTTTGTTATTTAGTCGAGATTGTCCACGTTTAAGCTTTATGCTGAGTATTCAGTTAACAAGTGGGCCTGGGTAGGTCTTACGAAATCTCGGCGGCACAGTGCGTTCTAAGCTTTGTAGAGCCTTCGGTCTAGTCACTGGCTTCTCTAGCTGCTCTAGGACAGTTGAAAAATTTTTTTTTTACATTGCTGACTGTAGTATTTCAAGTTATATAGTTAAGTCTAGACTAGACAACAAGTTGCGTGAAACAATACTAGATTGGCATATGTTTAAAAGTAGATGGTTGTAAAAGATAGTTACACTAGTTATTAGATGCAAGATATAATGAGAGTTACGGTTATACGTTTTAGCGTTAAAGTTAACATGAATTCTTGCAGTGCCACAACAGCGAATGCAGGTGTATTTTGAACATCAGGTTGCTTTGGCATGCAGTTAAAACAGCACAAATTTTGTTATTTTTCATGTAAAATTAACCCGCTATATAATACAAGTATGTTAGTGCATAGATTACTTTGCTAGACAAAGAGTTACAGACCTTCCATCAACAAGAACAATTGCAAAGTATGCATCTGAACTAAAAGCTGGCTCATCAATCAGGTTATAGGGCAATTATAGCTTAATCACTTCAGGTTACAAGCTCTGTGCACTCCTACATAAACTAACGTAGGGCAGGTTACAGATGTTAAACGCAGGCTTAGTTATTATAGCTAACGCAATGGGTCACGATGGGATCTACATGTTTATGCTAGTAGATGTAAATTGTAGCTTAAGTAAATGTGGGCTTTCAAGAAAGTTACACGGTTAAACTTCGATTTTACCACTGCCAGAGTAGGTAGGCGGGCGGCCATCGGGGCTGAGTGTATTCCTATATTATTAGGTATTAATAATAGACATAGTAGTATAATTGTATGGCTATGGTATATGATAGAACACTTTTTAGGTGACAAGAGGTAGATAGGTAGCTGATGTAAAACTGCAGCTTCTCTTATTTAGTCAGTGTCCTGTGGTGGTGTTAGAGTCTCTGTGCTGGCATGTGTGACTCCTTCCCTTCGGACCCTGATCCCTCACCACGGCAGTTCAGCTTCACCAGTGCTCTTCTGTGTGTGGAAAGTCTCCCCATATCAGGCTCGTGTAGGTCCGTTTGGCCGTTACACGCTGCAGCACACTTTCATTTCGCGCCTTTTGCACTTGGCCCCACCTGGGGATATCCATTGCGGGCCCGGGGTCTCTCATTCTCCCAGATCGCGGTGATCATGTCTGCGGTATTCTTTTACTTGAAGCCCTCCGGCAGGGCAGATGAAGGAACCGTGGTTTAAAAGGGGCTCCGTGGTGCAGGAGCAGATAATGTTCAGCTGTCTGCCGCCGCCATTTTGTGAGGCAGTTAGAGAGTCTCCCCTCAGCAGCCGCCCGTCTCAGGCTCTCCTCAGTGGGGACCGGGATGACCCCCCCGGTCCAAAGGGGGGGGAAACAGGGCCGGCAAGCAACTCAGGCAGTCAGCTTGTGGTAGCAGGGGAAGGAGACGCAGCGGCGGCCGTCCACCACGCTCCCCTCCCGGGTATGCCGCAGCCCTCGAAGCTCCATGCCCCCTTCAGAGGATCAGAACTCCCGATCTCGGGGTCTGCCGCCGCTCCCACAGCTGTGGGTGTCTTTTGGCCCGTTTAGTGTGTGAAGTTCCGCTGTAAATTGCTTAAAAGGCCGGGTTTCCCCAGAGCCTCTCCTGCATGCGACCGGTTAGCATGGCGGTCCGGCCCCGCCCCCTATTGTGATGGCTTTTAAAGAATGGAGGTACTTATTAGAAGGAGCTAGACACAAAATCCTGGTTATAACTGATCATAAGAATCTCTCCTATATAGCAGATGCTAAAAGGTTGTCCTCTCGTCAAGCCAGATGGTCCTTATTTCTTTCACGCTTTCAGTTCATTATCACATATAGGCCTGGGTACCGTAATGTCAAGGCTGATGCTATCTCCAGACAATACGAACCTTTGGAGTCAATTGCCCCCACTCCTGAACCCATTGTACCTACATCTAAGATAATAGCTGCTACCCGTTTGATTATTTCGTCTCTTTTCCTTGATGGTATCAAGACATACCAAACCCAAGCACCCTCTGAGACACCTGTAGGTAGATTATACATGAAAGAAAAAGATAGAAAGAAATTGTTAGCTTTATTTCACACAGCCAAAACGGCTGGTCACCCAGGGTTTACCAAAACATACAAGAGTCTCCTTCAACAGTTTTGGTGGCCCTCACTTAAGCATGACATGGTGGATTATGTGCAGGCTTGTCGTGTTTGCGCACAGTGTAAGTCCCCTAATGTTAAACCCTCGGGACTCCTAATGCCTCTATCCGTGCCCAAGAAACCATGACCCACTTATCCATGGACTTCATTGTAGATCTTCCTTCATCTGGTGGACAGACAGTAATTTTGACTGTGACCGACAGGTTCTTTAAAATGGCACACTTTATTCCACTTAAGAAACTACCTTCTGCGGTTCAGTTGGCTCAAGTATTTGCCAAAGAGGTGTTCCGCTTGCATGGTATACCACAGGATATCGTATCCGACAGGGGTCCTCAATTTGTCTCTCGGTTTTGGAGGGGCTTTTGTGTCTCCTTGTCATTTACATCCTCCTATCATCCCCAATCTAATGGAGCCGCCGAACGAGCGAATCAATCTGTAGAGTTATATTTACACCGCTTCACAAATGCGCACCTGGACAACTGGTCTCACCTCCTTCCCTGGGCTGAATTCGCCATGACTTATTCGTCTACTGGCTTAAGTCCTTTTATGGTTGCTTATGGGTTCCAAACCTCTGTCCTTCCAGGCGTGTTCTCCGACAAGGGAATACCCGCTTTGGACGAGCACCTCACCTCCTTACGGAAGATGTGGGATCAGGTCCATGCTACTCTTTCTCGTGCGACTGCTACTCAGAAGAGATTTGCTGATCGTCGTAGGGGTGCTGCTCCTTCTTATGTCCCGGGTGATAGGGTTTGGTTGTCCTCTAAGAATCTCCGCCTCAGGGTCCCCTCGATGAAATTCGCACCCAGGTTCCTTGGCCCCTATAAGGTATAGCGTAAGGTCAATCCTGTGTCCTACTCCCTGGCCTTGCCTCCTTCCATGAGTATACCTAACACTTTTCACACCTCCCTTTTGAAGCCCTTGCTCTGTAATCGATTCTCTGGTCCTCTCAGGCGTCCGGATTCCCTCTGCGCTGTCTCGTTTTTCTCGGGGTCAGTTGCAGTATCTGGTAGATTGGAAGGGTTACGGCCCTGAGGAGCAGTCTTGGGTTTCTGCCTCTGACTTGAATGCACCCTCTTTGATCCACTCCTTTCATGCGCGGTTTCCTTTGAAGCCTTCGGCTTCCCGCCCATCGGGCGGTCCTCGAGAGGGGGTTATGTCAGGGGTCTGCTCGCCACTCGCGTCCTCTAGGCCTCCCAGCGGCAGCATGTATAACGCTGCATGCTGGGAGGTCGGTAATTTATGCAAATGCCAGGGTCACTCATGTGACCCGGCGTTAAAGCAACAGTACCACAATCACAGTGGGAGGCGTAGATATCTCCCACGTGTGATTGTTAATTCTGATTGGAAGTTATCCAATCAGAATTAAGCAAAGGGTATTTATACTTACCTTTCCTGTTTCTCAGTGCCCTGTTGTGGTCTTGTGATACCTGTATTGTAGTTTGATCGTGGTTCTCTCTGGTTACCAATTATTTGGCTCGTTATTGCGACTATCCTGTCTTCTCCACTCCTTTGATCTCGGCTTGTTTCTTGTTCTCCCGTTTTCTGGCTCCCTTTACTTGGCTTGTCTCCTGACCATTCTTACTGTGCTTAGCCCGGCCACTCTAAGGACCGATATAGCATCTTTCCTTTCTGTGTCCTGTTAGCATGTTAGGTTCCGGAATCATGACATTGAGGCCCTTACAGTTTATGGAGGTGCAAGTCAGTGTGGGAGCCATGGGTCTTCCCCTCCCCCCCGCTTACTCCCCCGGGATGTGGTGTCCCTGATTTGTGTGCGGGGAGACCAGGCGGGTGGGTGGGGGAGACTGGGTGGTGGGGTAAAGAGGGTGCTGGAGGGGTGGTGTAGTACGGGTGAATGGTGTAGATTAATGAGCCAGCCGTGGGTATGAGGAGTGTGTCAGTGAGACCTGGTCTTACGTGGATATAGCCAGGTTAGTAGGGAGCGGAGTTTTGCCAAGCCTGTCTGCGAGTACAGGGTGAAGCTGGAGGTTTGACGTGAAGAGAGGGGTTTGAAGTGGTGGGGTCGAGGTAGCCGGTAGGTCCCCTTTCTCCCCCCCGAGCCTGTGAGCTTGTAGGTAGCAAGTGATTTGGGTTTCGTGTGAGGGGTGTGCACGCATTAGTGTTTGAGGTCGCTGTCTCAGGTTGTCAGTCCGATTTTTAGCGCGTCCTGTCTCTGTCCTAGGTAGTCCTCCTTGGGATGCTCCCTATGCCCTCCGTATGTCTAAATCTGTGGAGTATACTCTCTGTCTCTCCTTCTAATGGAGCCATCCTGGGAGCCTAGGAGTGCCGAGGGTGTAGCTTTGTATGGCGTGAGATCCAGGTAGTGGGTGTTGTCTGTCTCTTTATTTCTTCTAGGTTCTAAAATCGAGTGAGGTTGGTGGGTTCTGTGGGACTGCTGAGGGATGAAGGGGTGGGGGTTAATGCCTGCGCTGAGTAGGATTGGATTCCTTTGTTTGCCCCGTGTACTCTAGGCTTTAGTGAGGCTTACCGCGTGGGCGGTGGGTTCTATGTCTGTCAGTGTGGTCAGGCGTATGGTGCCTTGTTTAATGGGGGGTTATGCGTACGTTTCGTGAGGGGGTTTCTGTAGTGGCGTGTTGGTCACTGTGTTGGTCACTGTCCCACTCTGCACTGGGGTCCCGTCTCTCCGGTCCATAGCGTGGAAAGCGTGTCCCGTCTCGGGTGTAGTGTGGGGGGGCTGTGAGTCCTTTTTGTGCATCTGTAATAGAATATTTTGAACGGTTTGAAAATAATAAAGAACATTCAATTCAGTACATTTTGCATTCAACTTCGTAATATATAAGGCGAAAGTTTAGGCATTACCCATGTCTAGCGGTCTAATCCTGACATTGTCTGAAGAGGGATTGCATATGTCATTGCATTTCGTCGTGGTCACAGAACAGTACAAAGTTATTTACCACATGTTGTACATTGCTTTTCCCCTCCTCCTTATTGATGACTGCCTTGGTAAACAAGGGGGGCGTGCGTTTGTGTGCCTATGAGACCAGACCATATGCATAGCCTATTAACAGTTACAGTAACAAGGGGGGCGTGGAGTCCACCACTCAGTAGGTGTAGTAGTGGGGGGGTTGTGGGGCTGGTTGGTACGCCTATGTCTATGTTTTCTTTTAATGTATATGGCGTGATATGCATCCATGCCCCCCTGGTCTCCTGTGAGTTTCGCCTATACTATTGCTAACAATAACAAACATGCGCTTGTGCGCCCTTGAGCATAACCTACACATTATACATGTACATCTAATATTTAGCGTTTCTTTAGCCACAGGGGATATGGATGGGGGTCATAGTGAGAGGTTATGTGGGGCTGGTTTGTGGGCCTGTGTTGATCGTGTCAGCGGCCTGTTGTGGGATTCTTCTCCGTGGCTGTGGGAGGGTGTGTGCTGGTGCCCCGGAGGCCACTTTAAGTCTAGGGCTGGCCCGGGTAGTGGTCGGATCACGTATGGGGTAGGGGCTATGGCGGATAGACCACGTGGAGATACCCTTAGGGGAATACAGGTTGTACCTCCTGGGTGGTGGGGGCTTTTGGGTGGGGTAGGGTGGCTATTTTTTTTATTTTGGGGGGGGTGGGATAGGGAGAAAACCTGTTTAGAAGATAGCGTTGGAGGCAAGTCCTGTTTGTAAAGTCCATGTCTCTGTGCTTCTCCTTTAAGTGCCCATCTGCGAGGTATTCCTTGGAGTTTGAGGCGGTCTGTTCCTTTGAGACAGGCGGTGGGGTGTCGGTTCTTCCCTGTGTGTGGGACGGGTTGATCTTTGTAGGTCTCTGTCGGCGGGTGCTGGTACTTGGAGCAGTGGGACTCCGATATGTTTGGCAAAGTCCATCATGTCTGCAGGGTGATGGAGGGTGTAAGATTGATTGTCCTTCCGGAACATTAGTTTGAACGGGTGGCCCCACATATATTTCCAGCCCTGTTGGGCCAGGTAAGGGGTTTAAGTTTCCTTAGTTTTCTCAGAGTCGTGGGTGCCAGATCTTGGAAAAATTGTAGCGATTGTCCTTGGTAGGTCAGTGACTTTGCACGGGCTGTGGCCATCAATTTTTCTTTGGTGGTGTATAGTAATAATTTGACGATCACGTCTCACGGCATGGCCGGGTTAGGTGTGGGGGGACGTAATGCCCTATGTGATCTCTCTCGATCGTGAGGTCATGGTCTGAGGTCCCCGGCAGGTAGCCCTCATTAAACAGACCACTGCTTGACCCTCAACACGGAGCCTTGTCTTGTCTTTGGGGGGGGATTTACTGAATGCTGATAGAGACTGATTGCTAGGAGTGTAAGCCCCTTGGATGCTTTTCCTATTCGTCTGCTAGCAGCGATTCGTATGGTTCCAGTTCGTGTGTTTGGAGTGCTATGTTGGATGCCGTTCGGGAGTTTGGAGCATTCACTTATTGGCGGTTCGTGAGTTTGGTGTTTTACAATAGCTGTGCCTGCATCTCTGGAAAGGGGGACGATCGCATAAACGGTTTTTACCCCTTGTGTGCAAAACGGTCCGTTACAGTACGCAACAGGATTGATCCTACAAAGGACACGAAAAGGTCAAAGGAACCTAGGAGCAAATTTCATGCTAGGGACTTTGAGCCTGATGTTAAACCTTCTCACCCACTTGGTAAACAGGGTTGGCACCTCAACGCTTGTCAGCAAAATGCTTGAAACGGTCAGCAGCAGTACCCAGAACAGATTGAACTTTAACCCAGGTATCACGGATGGAAGCCACAGGGTCATCCAAAGCAGGAATAGACGTGTCAGAAAAAACAGCCGGTAGGACAGTAGGATGCCGGCCATTATTAACAAAAAATTGACTATGCCCAGAGGAGTCATGGTCAGCATTGTTTCTAGCAAACTCAGCCCATGGTAATAATTCGGACCAATTGTCTTGAGTGCTATTAACGAAACAACGCAAGTATAACTCCAAAGACTGGTTAGCCCTCTCAGCTGTACCATTAGTCTGGGGATGGTAAGAGGATGAAAAAGACAATTCAATCCCCAATTGCTTATTGAAGAACAATACAAACCGAGAACCTCTATCAGATACAATATTGTGAGGAATGCCATGCAGATGGACAATCTCACGTATAAAGATCAGTACCAGGTCTTGAGATGACGGTAATTTCTTGAGAGGGATGAAGTGAGCCATTTTAGAAAAACGGTCAACAACCATGAGAATAGTGGTATAACCATTAGAACTAGGAAGTTCTACAATGAAATCCATAGACAAGTGGGACCATTGGACCTCAGGAACGGGAAGAGGTTGTAACAAGCCACAAGGGATTAGCTTGTTATGAGGTACTTTGGAAACCGCACAAACAGAACAAGCCTGCACATACTCCTTAACATCCTTCTTGAGGGAATCCCACCAGAATGACCTCATGATAGCAGAAGTGGATTTATTAATACCTGGGTGACCAGCAGACACATTGTTGTGAAACACCTTCATGATATTAACCCTTTCCCCCAATGGAACGAACAATTTGTCCTGAGGTTTACCACAGGGCGCCTGAGACAAAAACAATGCCAAAGTCAAATAACCAGAATAACCAGAATCAATAACACTCTCGGACAACCACAAGGGAAACCACGACAGGGCACTGAGCAGGATGAGAACTGGGCCTAAATACCCCTCCTCTAGGTCTGATAGGCTTTGACCCCAAAGGCAGTTACCAGATCTCATTTGCATAATTTCTGCTCAGCATTAACCCTTCTGTGGATTTGGTTGTTGCTCGACACAACTTTTCCTGTGTGGACAGTAAAAGTCATTAACCACATTTTTGTAAGCGGATGAATACGTGACACCACCCACATGGACCTTGTTGGGTACTGAAAACACAACCGTAACAACCAATCATATCCAGACACATAGTTAGACACTCCCATTCATCACAGCAAATTCCTCCCCTCTGCTTGGGAGATAATTGAGTTTAATGGCTGTATTAACTCAATTATCTCCAAGCAAAAATACAATACGTACATACAATGTGGCAGAACCAACCTCGCCACTATGCACTGGAGAAGCCTGGTTGCTCGTCTGCTGCATTTAGACTATGGCCCCTGGGAGATTGTGAAGACTTATGGACTTTTATTGGGTGTGTATGGCCCTTTAAGACAGTCGGTGGGCATATTAGGGCTTATGTACATTTTTGTGGGACTGGTGCTGGCCCTTTAAGCACCTTTTTGGGGCATAGGGAAAATTTGGACACTGCCCCTTTAAGACTGTGTCCCCAGTCCGGGTTAAAACCCTTTGTTCCTAGCTATTTCCCACTTGGTTCAATAAATGGGGCTTACTGAACCAAGTACCACACAGGCAGACCACCTGTATTGGGAGTGTGTTGGCAATCTACCTCCCAGAAGCTGCGGTTAACCGCAGCTTAATTGACAAAGCTGGGTGGCCTTTGTTCGTTTGTCGAACACGTGGCGGCGGCCATCTTTGTTCATTCACACGAGGTCAGTGGTATGTGTAGGCAAATTCATGGAACTAAAATTGGCTACACATTTCTGCGAACACCGCTGAGACCTACCTTCTCCCACAACGTATTTGCAGCCGTAGAGACCATTCGGCGATGGGACTTAGTCGTTTTTTCAGCCTGAAATAGACCGACCTCACAGCCCAAATCTATGGAACTGTTTTGGGCAGGATAATGTGCTTGCGGTCGGTCATAAAGGGACCTCCAGCTAACTTTTTAACCCCTGGATGAATGATTTTTGGTTATGTATATATTTGAAGGTTGGTGATTCTAAATATGTCATTTTTATGGAGATTGGATGTGTAGTTTTAAAGTTACAGGATATGTGAAAAAAACTGTATTTTTACTGCCTGTGTTTAATTATGTTAAACCATTCCGTACCATAATTAGATCACAGGCAGAGGGGAGGATTTTTGTGTATAATTGCTGGGAGTGTTTCTGTAATATACGTGTATGAATGGTTGTTTTGTAAAACCCTATGGGTGGTCCTATCTAAGGGAAACCTGCATAAAAGAAGGTTATTTTGGTGCCAGTAAACAGATTCTGCTTAACCCTCAAAAGAAGTGTCGTTTCGTTATTGGGGGAATTGGATTGTATGCTGACTGGCAGGAGTGTAAACCTTTCGTATGGTTTTTCCTGTTCAGCTGTTTCCGGTATTCGTGAGTTTCCTGTTCGGGAGTTGGAGAATTTGTGTAGTTTGCAGTTCGGGAGATTGGTGATTGCAGTAGCTGTCTGTGCATCTGAAAGGGGAATATCGCCTAAACGGTTTTTAACCTCTTGTTAGCAAAACGGTCCGTTACACACAACTTTTATAACTTTAAAATTACACATCATATTTGCATAAAATTTACTTTTTAGAAACAGCATAATTATGGGAACAACATATCCAAATTTCATTTGAATCCGTTCAGCCGTTCGGGAGTTAGGTGGAAGTCCCATTTTGACCGACCGCACGCACATTTTCTTTTTTTTTCTTTTTTTTTTTCCACATCTCTTTTTATTATCAGATTTTTCACCATAAATACATTGTACAAAAAAGTATTTAAAACACATTCAAATTCATACACATAAACACAGAGACAAAGAAAACACAAAAAAAACCCACAAAACTACCCACCTCCCCACGAGAGTTCTACTGACTTCCAACTTCTCTATCTCTTTTCAAATGATATTAATATTACAATTGTAGTAATTTTTTCTCCCAGTTTTCCCATAGGCTCAAATTATCATTCAGAAGCTTGCAATGATCCTTCTCCATTTTAAGTTGGTAAACCAACTGAATTGTTATTAATTTGATGTTAAAAGGGGTATCTCCCTTCCAATTCCTTGCTATTATTATTTTGCAGGCCATTAAACAATGAATAATTAAAAATTGATTTATTTTATTAAATTTTGGCCATTTGTAATGTAATAACATTATTTCAGGTTTTAGAAACATTTTAACATCACACAGTGTATGGATGATAAGTTGAGCCCACTGCCATACAACAATCACTTGTTTACATGACCACCACATATGAATATAGTTTCCTTTTTCCTCTCTACATTTCCAACACTTCGTGTCTCTAGATACATCAAATTTAGCTATTTTCGTTGGCGTCATATACCATTGATTAGCCAACTTGAAGTGTGTTTCTATCAATATAAAGGAGTGGACATATTTATTGATTTTTTGTAGGGTAGATAGCCATTCAGATAATTCTATATTAATTTTTAATTCAATATTCCATTTTTTAATAGCACTAGGCGGGACAGAATCATCCATTGGGTCCAACATTCTAACACATCTAGAGAACAGCTGCTTTGTCTTATTCTGGTATAATATTGATTTTAATATATCATACATCTTACCCTCTTTTACTAACTCAACTTTCTCCAAATAATGTTTTACTCTAAAATAAGTATATACATCTTTAACAGAGATCTTAAACTCCTCTACCAACGTTTTATAAGGTTTGATTTTATCCTCTTTAATCAGATCTTTTATAATATTTATTCCTTTTTCTTTCCATAGTTTTAAGGAGATATTCTCCATATTTAATTCTATTGTTTCTAATTTTTGAAAATCAAATATTTTATTTTCCAAATCAATTTTTTCCTTATTTTTTGCCATATTGGAGTGATCTGTCCTAAAATGTACGATCTGGATAGATTGCATTTTTTTTGTACTCCAGAGTAACTCTACAGTATCTCTTAATTGGCTAGATTCTAATTCTGACCACCACCATACTTCCTCTTTATTTTGTTTTATTTGACTAGCCATAACATGCGCAATAATTCCTGCTTCATAATATTTTCTTATATTTGGATATCCTAGGCCTCCCTTCTTTATTCCTCTTGCTAGTACTCCATTTTTAATTCTAGGTTTTTTCCCTCGCCATACAAAATTAGAAGAGGCCTTATTGATCATTGTCAGCCATGCATTCGGGATTTCTAATGGGAGCATTCTAAACATATAAATCCATTTTGGCAAAACATATGATTTTAGAATATTTATTCTTCCTCCCCAAGATACTTCTAATTTTCTCCATTCTTTCAAATTCTTATTAGTTTCTTTTAGGAGATCCATAAAATTTATTCGCATAGTACTTTCTACCTTTCTGCAAATTTTAATTCCTAAATATAAAGCTTTAGTAAAGCCATATGTTTCTTGATAGGAATTTATTTCTTGCTTTGACATATTGATATATATAGCAATTGATTTTGTTTTATTTAATTTGTAATTTGATACTTCACTATATATATATATATATCAATTTCTGACATTGCATTTAATATTGATGTTGACGAATTGCTCAAAAATAGAATAGTATCATCAGCATAGAGAAATATTTTCAGTTCTTTCTGTTTTGCTATAAATCCCTTAATATTTTCATTATTTCTAATTCTGTTAGCTAGAACCTCTAGTGTTAATATAAACAATAAAGGGGACAAAGGACAGCCTTGTCTGGTCCCATTATTCAATTTAAACCAATCTGAGCATATACCCGGACCGATTGTTCTCGCCTTTAGATCTTTATATAAAGCTAAGATTGCATTAAGCAACCATCCCTGTATACCTAGTTCTTCTTCTAGGGTAAACTTAATAAAGTCCCAGCTGACCCTGGGATTTTCTTTTTTTTGTGATATATCTAGTGCATCAATCAAGCGTCTAATATTATTGCTTGACATTCTGTCTGAAACAAAACCTGTTTGATCAGGATGGATTAGCTGTTTTATAACTTCTTTTAATCTGCTAGCTATAATGGAAGAAAATATCTTAATATCTACATTTATTACTGATATTGGGCGATAACTCTGTACTTTAGTTGGATCTTTCCCTGGTTTCAATATAGGTAAAATATTTGCTTTAAGCATTTCATCTGGGAATCTGCCCTTTTTAACTGCAGAATTAAAGGTATTTTTTAAGTGGCCTATCAAATGAAGTTTCATTGTTTTGTAGAATTTATTTCCAAATCCATCCGGACCTGGCGTTTTATAAGTTTCTAATCTATCTATTATTATATTGATCTCTTCTTCCGTAATCTCTTTATTTAGGTTATTTACCTGTGTTTCTGTTATTTTATTCAATTTTGCTGATTAAATATATTTTTTTATTATTTCTGAAGGGGTAGTTACTGAAAGACTATATAAGTTGGCATAGTACTCATTAAATGCTTTCCCTATCTGTTCTGGAAGAAGGGAGATGGTATCATTAGTAATTATTTTATCAACCTTGTTGGTCGTATTTCTTTTTTTTTTTCAGCATATTGGACATTATTTTATCAGCTCTGTTAGATTTGTGATAATATTTAACTTTAAGTTTATGCATATTTGTTTTGATTTTTTCATAAGTTTTTTCCTGAATCTCAGATTTAATTTTCTCTTTTTTTAACTGAGTGTCCTTGGTTGGATTATCATTGTTTTTTTATTTATATAATTCAATGTAAAGATCTTGTACATTTGCCCCTTTTTTTTCTTTAATTTATTGAGCATTATACAATGTCCCCTTATTACTGCTTTAAATGAGCACCATAAAGTATCATTCTCCACTAGTCCATTATTATGTCCACGCACATTTTCATGCCCAAAACAGTTCCAGAGATTTGAGCTATGCGGCCGGTCTATTCTTTACAGTTCAAATGCACGAACTGGTGCCTTCGGCGTTCAAATGGTCGAACGTTGTTCGACTCCATTCGAATGGGATAGTTCCAACTTCAGCGGTGTTCGATTAACTTAAACCGCTGACTGTGTTCGACTAAATTAAAATGGCCACCTCCACGGATGGCGGCCACTTCGAACTTTGGCTGCTTCCATAGTGCCATAGCAAAAGTACAGATCTTTACCCAGAGCATTTAAAGGGTCAGAAACAGTTTAATAAAAGTTCATAAGCCCAAATAACGTTTTTAAAATACAAACACTCCCAGGGGCCATAGTCACAAGACAAGAGGCTGGCAATTAGTCCTCTCCAGGAACAAATGGCGAAGGGCACTTCGTCACAGTCTCATTCACACTCACTGTCTCTCTCGCACACTCACTGTCCCACTCACTCACACTCTCTGTCCCTCTCATTCACACTCTCTCACACTCTCTCTCACTCACACTCACTGTTTCCCTCACACTCACTGTTTCCCTCACACTCACTGTCTCTCTCACACTCACTTCTCACTGTCTCTCACTCACACACCCTCTCACACTCACTCTAAATTTTTAAAATAAGTGTACTTACAGTTTGAAGTCAGAAGATCTATGCATCATCCTAACTTCTGCCTGTCAGCATGAGCCAGCCCACGCTGTGTGTTGTTGCAGATCTTTTCTCCCAGACTCCCATGCACTGCTGACAGCCTCAGGGAGACAGGATGCTTGTGCACAGTGCCCTGTCTGCTGACAGCACATCTGAATGGATGGATGGATGCGAATTACGCATGCATCAACTCGGAAGTTCCTCTGGCGGCAGTCTGAGTGACTGCAACTAGAGGTGTTCCTAGCTTTCAATGTAAACACTGTATTTTCTCAGAAAGGCTGCAGGGAGCTATAGTTCTCACCTGAACAACCTCATTAAGCTGAAGTTGTTAAGGTGAGTATAGTGTCCCTTTCATTTTTTACTGATTTGAGGATTTATATCCTTTAATATTTTCATTACTTCTAATCTCCAAAGATAATGGTTCTAAAGAAAGTATATACAGTAAAAGAATGTGGTCAGTCCTGCCTAGTCCTGTTTGTAAATTGGAACCACTCTGATATTACTTCTGAACCTATAACTCTGCCCGTGGGTGATGAATAGAGGGCCATAATTGCTCGGTAACCTAATCCCTAAATTCCAAATACCTTAAGTGTCTCCCTCATAAAATCCCAGCTGACCCTGTCAAAAGCCTTTTTTGGCATCAAGTGACAGTGTCAGCTGGAAGATCTGCCTCCTATCAGCATCTTCACATAGGCTCAATTGGCTTTTAATGTGATTTAATGAAAATCTCTCTGGGAAAAAAGCCTACCTGATCTCTATGTATAAGACCCTCCAGTAAGGGTTTACGTCTTTCTGCTATTGTCCCTGCATACAGTTTGGCATCCATGTTTAACAGTGATATAGGCCTATAACTTGATAAGTCTGTGGGTTCCTTTCCCGCTTTCAGTATGGGAAATTTCCCTTTAACATTTCCTCTGGGAATTCACCTCTCTCTGCTATCTCATTGAATAATTCCACTAGGTGGGGCATCAACTCATCTTTAAAGGTTTTATAAAAATAAGCAGAAAAGCCATCGATACCAGGTGTTTTTTTAGTTTGAGTCTGTCAATCAATTTCCCTATTTCTTGTATTGTAAAAGGTTTATTGATCTCCTTTAGTGCCTCCAGTGATGGCCTTGGGAATACTTTACTCCTAAAATATTCAGAGGTTTCTATACAACTAGTCCTTACTGGTAAAAGTATAAAGCCTGATAATATCTGCTGAATGCCGAACCTCTCTCTTCTGGTGACAAAAATGTCACGCCCTTAAAAGGTAATTTTTAAAATCTTTGATTCCACCTTTTTATTTTTTAACTTATTTGATAACATTCTATCGGCTTTGTTACCTTTGTAATATCTTACTAAGTTTAGTGCATCTCTTTTCTCAAGCTCAGCAATGTTATTAGATGTACCTCTTGAGGGCCTTTGTTTATTTTCCCCTCTTCAGATTAAATAATTGGATATAGAGGTCAGAAATCTTAATTTCTGCCCGTTTATTTTGCTTGAGCTCCCAATTTTATTAGATAACTTCACATTACACTCTTATATGCTGTCCAAATCATAGAATAAGAAATTTCTGGAGACAAATTTTCTTTGAAATATAATTTTGTCATTGTTTTTATGTAATCCCTATTTTCTTGAGATTTTAATAAAATATTATTTAACCTCCAATCTCTTTTTACCCTGAATTTGTCTATTTTTAAAATTTATTTTATTTTATTTATTTTTGATTTTCAAAGGTCGACATAGTGTTGGGGTGGGGTTACAGAAAGAAGAGTGTTCGATTCTCGTTTTTGTAACATCATGTAACATTACTAATTAGATTAACAGTATTAGCAAGTATAACGTTCAAAGTTTGGTTATACATGTTGATAGGCTATGCCAGGTTTAAATTTTTCAGTTCAGTAGTTCATTTCTGTTATTTCATTGTAAAAGGGGGGTATGGGGATCTGGGGAGAGGGACACAGAATAAAAGAGGAAGGGGGTTAGGGGTTGGGTAAAGGGGTAGGTGCCTTAACATTGTTTTTGACCCTTTAGTGATTCTATGTATTGACAAGGCTTTTTGTGGTCACCCTTAATTTTCCCTACGTATGGTAGGGAGGGGTTCTGTATTGCTAGGGTTCGTAGTCTCGCGTGGGGTGGTGTCTGCTGTGTACGGCCCTTCATCTTGGTGGCTGTTCAGGTTCAGCGTTAAGTGTCCCTGAGTCCTTGTGTGGTGAAGTGGCCATAGTGGTTCTGCAAAGTGTTGGGAGTAGCGTACTTGGTGGGGTCTTGTGGGTACCGGTCTGTTGGAGTGTGTCGTTGTGTGTGTCAACTGGTCTTAGCGTTTTTGCCATGTGCCTACCGGTACGGGATGGGTTGGTTGGGTGTGTGCGATAGTTTGGTTTGTGGGTCTTGTTGATGATGGTATGAGTGTTCTTTGGTGGGAGCGTCAGTGGGTAGTGTGGAGGTGTGTGGGGAGTGTATGCCATGTAGTGTGGAGGATGAAATAAAGTCAGCGGGGTGTAGAGCGGAGGCTGGGGTGAGGGTAGGTGTGAGTGGGTAGTGTGGGAGGGTAGGGATGGGTGGGGACGGCAGGGTGGGAGGTGGTTAATCATCCAGGGAGGAGGTCCTTTGAGGGTGTCCCCGTCCGTCTAGTCCGGTCCACAAGGTGGACCGTTCGGTAGAGTGGGAAATTCGAAGATCCAGGGCTCCCATTTTTTATCGAAGTGTTTGACTGTGTTTGACTTTTCCCCCACACCCTTTCCAGCACAGCTCATTATCTGTTTATTTAATTTTTTTCAGGCGTAGGGGGGTGAGGTACCACCTGACGCTCCTTGTGGTTGACACATATCGATACCATTTCCGTGGCTTCCCATATGGCCACCCAGTCACTGTGGTCACCTATCGGGCCCAGGTCCCTTTCCCAGGCTGACATGTAGGACATGGAGCCCTCTCTCTTATTTCAGCTGAGGATTGTTGTAGATTGTTGAGATTTACCCTTTGTGTAGTGGGTGTTTAATGCAGACATTTTCTAGTGGGTTGAGTGGGTTCGTTTATGAAGCTTCGAATTTGGATCTCTGGTTGTGAAGGGGGACTGTTGTGGGAGATCCGTGAATGGTAGGAGTTGTTGATTCTTGTAAAATTGGTATATACGGGTCAAGTTGTTGTCTTCGTAGTGTGTGAAGTCCTTTGGGACCATGCCAGGTGCAAGTTTCATGTTACTAAGGATAGGCATGAGTGGGGAGGGGTGGGAGATGAGGACATGTTTTTCGGTAATTTTATCCCATATTTTAATCGTTGTGTGGAGTGCTGGGGAGGTGGGGGGGATGGGTGGTCTAGCTTGTTTTGGGAGCCAGATGTATAAGGATGGGAAATAGTTACCAAAGATGATGTGTTCCAGGTCCACCCAACATTTAATGCCATAAGCTGGGTGTAGTTGAACTGTTTGTTGCTATTTGTGCAGCCTGGAAGTATAGAGTAAAGTTAGGTAGTCCGAGCTCTGTATGTATAGTGTTTGGCAGGCTATCCTAGCTCTTTTACCGGCCCATACAATTTGTCTATGTTAGTTTGTAATTTTTTAAAGTCGGACGTGATTATGGGGATTGGGAGGGTTTGGGAGGATTTGGAAAGGGTATAGGAACCTCTAGAGGAGGTTCATTTTTACAGAGGCCATTGGTTCCAGCCATGAGATCGACATGTCATTCCACTTCTCCAGGTCTCGTGATGCTGTGTCAAGTAGAGGTGTATAGTTGTGGCTGTAGGTTTGTGTTAGGTCTGCTGGGAGAACGGTGTGACGAGAGAAATCTCGCCACATTACATTGGAGAAGCCTGATTGCTCGCCTGTTGCCTTTGGATTATGGCCCCATGTTAAAAGGCTTGATTTTCCCCTACAAAGACAAGAAAGCCGGGTCATTTGGTGCTTGCCCTGTTTGAGCTATGCCATGGAGCCCATTCGTATAATGAAAGACTATGGGAAAGACTTTGGCTCCATGGCAATTGAACTGTATGTGTGTGCTCTGAGCGCCATTCAGTAATAATGTGCGCTCAGACCTAAGCTATCTGGGCATATGTTGCATTTCTGTATTTTATGTCATAAATGTAACCTTGTGTATTTTATTGTATTTTACTGTCTTTTTGCTGCCATGTGTTCAATGGAGTTTTGCCTCTATCTTTGAAAATAATTGGATTACTTCTAATTATCTCCAGGATAGAAGACTCTGTGGAACTGGTTTTGGGCAGAAAAGCCATGCTTCCTGTGGTCACAAAGGACTACGATCTATCTTTTGAACCACTGGACCAATTTGTATGATTTTGACGTTTGTTTGTATTTGGAGTATGCTGATTCTGAAAATGTATTTATTGTATGCTGTTCTAGTTCGACTGCTAGGAGTGTAAACCTATTCGTTTGGTTTTTCCTATTCGGCTGTTTACAGCATTCGTATGGTTTCCTGTTCGGCGGATTAGTGTTCTACAGTAGCTGTTCCTGCATCCCTGGAAAGGGAAGATCTACTAAATGGTGGTTTAACCCTTTTATGCCTGGGGATGCCGTTACAAACGGTACCTAGATATTTTATGGAGGAGGTCTGGTAGTGGAATGGGTGTCGGGTTGGAAGGGGTTGGAGGGTGGTGTGGTCGACTTGGATTGGGAGGGCTTCAGACTTATCTAGGTTTAACTTGTATCTGGAGACTGCGGAGTAATCATCTAGTGCTGTGATCAGGGGTGGAAGTGAGTTCAGTGGGTCCGTCACTGTTAGAAGAATGTCGTCCGCGTGTGCTGCGATTTTGAATGTTTTATCTCAGACCTGTATGTTGTTGTGGCCTCGGAGAAGCTGAAGGAGAGGTTCAAGGGATAAAGTGAATAAGATCGGAGAGAGGGGGCATCCCGTACTATTTTTAATCTGAAAAGGATGGGGGGTAGGAGAAGGTTAGCTGTAGGGGAGGAGTATAGTGGGTGCAGGGCGTTTATGAAGGGTCATGGGAAGCCGAATTTTCGTAGTGTCACGAAGAGAAAGGGCCATAAAAGTCTGTCGAATGCTTTTTCAGCGTTTCGCGAGAGGATTAGGGTGGGGATTTGTTGGTGTTTGGCCAACCATATAAGGGCAAATGTTCGTTTCTTGTTGTCGCTAGCCTGTCTATTCAGGATGAACCCCACCTGGTCCGGATGGATAAGTTTTGGCAGAAGGGGGTTAAGTCTTTCCGCCATAACTTTCGTGAATAGCTTAATGTCTACAGTTCCAGTTCTTCGTCTATCTATCGTTGGTGATAAGGTGGCGTTGAAGTCTCCACCCATCACCAGGTGGTGTGAGGAGAATAATGCGAGGTGGACGTGAATTGTTTGCCAGAAGGAGCTGGATGGAGC